AAAGAGCTGTATATTTTCCACATCCATACAATTAACTTTCTATGCAGATTAGCAAATACCTGGAGTTATGAAAGATCCTATTTGTTCCTCAAAAACAAACAAAAAAAAACCACTAAAACCCTTCTACCTAACAGTTTTGAAGACTTATCTGATTACTAGACTCTGTTCCTTATGTAACTACTTATTAGCTCCATGAGTATTTCAGACTAAGAAAAACAGAAATTTGAGCAATAGTAAAAGCTTTGTACAATAGAAAATGTATTCTTTCCCTAGTTTTCTTAATTAGTTCCTTGGCAAATCTGCAGTGGTAGACAGAAGAGCTGATTACAATTCCAGGCTGAGTGGAGACTGGAGTAACTTACGAGCCACAAGGCACTAGAGAACTGCTGCAGATGCCCCTCTGAAGGGAGCTGATCCCTGGCTCAAACTGAGTTTGCTCACATTGACCAGTTTTCCAGAATATTAACTTTGTCTGAATGCACTGGGCAGATGATAGCAGGGGAGAAAAAAGCCCCAGCCTCCTCTCTAGTGCAACACACAAGATCTAACCATCAAAGCACCTACATTGCATTAGCAGTACCTGGCTTGTTCTTGTCTTCCCAGCAGTACCTGCGTACCTTATTATTTTTTAGTACAGCTGAAGCATACACGATACCAATGCTTTGGAGCATCTGGAGTTTTAGGTAACTTTTGTTTTAGTCTGAAAAGCTGACAGTATCTTTAGGCCCATTCTTTGGGAGTAATCAGCATGACATCACTGACAAGGCATAGACATTCCTTCTTCTGCAAGAGAATCAGAATCCCAAAAAGCAACACCTTCAAAATTTGTAATTGTGCTTGAGAGATTGAAACATAAATTTACATTAAAAATTCACATGGTGCATACACTGTAGAAATTCTGTAGGTGGAGATAACTCTTCCTGTGTAAGTCATAATGCATGCAGATCTTTCTGAGAAGTCTAATACAGAGGATACTACTGGAACAATACTCTTTGCTCAAATACAAATGTGCTGACAAAGAATTTATTTTTAATGGCCTTCTACTCATGTTGCTCTCCCTTACACAGTCTGAGTTCTCAATGGTTACTAGAAAAAGTTTTAGACAATAACCCAACAAAACCTGCTATTTCTAGCATATGGCTAAGTCAAATCACCAGGTCAGACCTTTACTTCTTAGGAGATCCATGATTCCCAGATAACCTCAGATCTACAGGTGCATCAGTATTTAAATACAATGGATAATGATGTCTGTCAAAGATCTCCTTAATTTTTTTAACTCTTAAGAAGTGTGAGAAGGAAATGTGCCAATTAAGAACAAAGATCATGAAAGTCATTGGATAAATTTAATATTCTCAAGGTTAACAGATCCTTCTAAAACCTTGACAGTAATATTACTCTACAGAATAGCTAAAATAAACTAACAACAACATAAGCAAGTTTTCCAGGTCCTCACTCTTCACTGCCAGAATATAAAACATGACTGTATGTAAAGCTTCCCTGCGGATACTAAGGCTACTTGGGAAGTCTAGACATTGACAACAGATGACAAATTCCACTGTGAAACTATGTTTGTTTTTAAGAATACTGCAAACACCATGGTGGCACAAACAGGTACATCCCAACAGGGAATCATGCAAAAGGTATACCTGAACAAGTGGAAAAGCAAGGAGGGCCAGTTTCTGCTTACACTTTCAGGCATATCTTATCAAGACACACGAGCATTGAGGGTTCTTACACAGGAATATCCATTTGCTTTTACTCACACATCTGTGTATTACCCAGGACTGTCACTCTTGGCATATAAGTTCTGTAGAACACAGTCACAGCTCCCTTTACATCAACAGGATTGCTTTACAGCAAAGTACTACCCACAGCTTCAGAACTGGTTCCCTCCAATGTTGTCCCTCCACTACTGTTAAATACAATCCCATGTGATAAACAACTGATACAATTCCCAGCTTTTCTTTTTACAGGATTTATGGGTAGGAACACACATAACATTCCTTGGCTGTAATACCCACTCTCTCATTACATGTTTTTCAGCCAGGGCCCTCTGGTCATCCAACTTCCCTTCTTCAGGTACCCTATTTACTGCTCCCACAACTCAAAATTCTCCAAGATGCCAATGAAAGAAAATTTTTCAGGTTAAGAGCTGCACAATAAGACTTTCTGTTGTTCCAATTTAATTAAACAGAAACTGAGTCCAAGAATTACACTCAAAGTAAATCTCATGCTCAAAATATTCTCATTTCAAAAAGCTTTATTAGGAAAAGAAAAAGCAAGTGAGTATATGTATGCATGTGGTAAAGTCTATAAGGGATAGACATTTGCAGGTTATTATGCTAAGTTTCAAGAATTCAGCTGAATCAAGCTAGGGATTAGTCTTTTCTATTCCCAGGAGTTCCCTGAAGAGAACAGAAATGATTGATTTTTCCCTTCAAGCACATGATTTAGAAAAAAACTTATCTCTCAAAACCAAGCAAAGACAGTTTTTCGATCACATCTCACCTACTGCTGCATGCCAAGGAGCAGAAGTGGGAGGGAAAAGTCACACAGGGACTGCACAAAGGGGTAAGTGTATCAATATTTAAAAGCTCTAAGCTCAACTTGGATCTTGTAAAAAGTCATTTTCAGTATTAATAGATTTCAAAGGTGGAATATATTAAATATAATGCTACAGAATTTCAGTGTGAGAACCTTCAATTTTAGGCTCAGTTCAACAGAAGTCAAAATTTCTGTTAGACGTGTAACACAAATATTACTGTGGAGATGCCACACTGAAAAATTGGCAATAAAAGTACTTAAAGACACCTTAGAATGAAACAACTAGAGGTAATTATTAACAAAACATAGGTTTTGTATTCAAACATCTATAAAATCCAAGTCTACATTAAAAATGGCAGTAAGAGTATTTTAGAGAAAACCCATAGACTTAGTTTAGACGGAACACAAGATTAATACAAAGCATTTCTGATGTACCTGTTCAGAAGCTCCACAAGTTTGTATTATTCTTTAGAAAAAATACAGATTATCTGAGCTAAAGTATCACCTCCTTCAATATTCATGAGGTATCATGTGATAACATTTTCTTCACTTGAAAGGCCAGCAACTACATATGGGGATTCTTTTCTCATCTGACATGCCATGGTTCTCCATTTCCTTTTTTTCTTTTTCTTCCATAGAACCATAGAAAAGTTAAGAGTTGAAATGGACCTTAGAGATAATCTCACTTCAACCCCCCTGCCATGGCAGGGACACATTCCACTTGACCAGGTTGCTTAAAGCCCCATCCAGTCCAGTCCTGAACATCTCCAGGGATAGGGAGTCCACAGCCTCTCTGGACAACCTGTTCCAGTGTCTCACCACCCTCACAGCAAAGAATTCATTGCTAACATCTCATCTAAACCTGCCCTCTTGCACCTTAAGGCCATTCCCCCCTTGTCCTATCACTATATGCCCTTGTAAACAGTCGCTCTCCAGCTCCCCTGTCAAGGATTTTGGATATTGGATACTCTGCAAAGTGCTATAAGGTCTCTCTAAATCCTTCTCTTCTTCAGGCTGAACAGCCCCAAATCTCTCAGCCTGTCTTCTTAGCAGATGTGCTTCAGACCTCTGGTCAACTTAGTGGCTCTCCTCTGGACTCATTCCAAGAGGTCCACGTGTTTCTTGCATTGGGAGCCCCAGAGCTGAACACAGCACTCCAGATCAGGTCTCATGAGAGCAGGGTAGAGGGGGAAAACCATCTCCCTCAACCTGCTAGCTGTGATGCTTTGGATGCAGTCCAGGATGCCTTTGGCTTTCTGGGCTGTGAGTGCACATTGCTGGGTCATATGGAGCTTTTTGTCCAAACAGCCACACGTCTTTTTACTCAGGGCTGCTCTCAATCCATTCTCCTCCCAGCCTGGACTTATGCTTGAGACTGCCCCAACCCAAGTTTAGCACCTTGCATTTGGCCTTGTTGAATTTTATGAAGTTCACACAGGCCCACCTCTCACACCTGTCCAGATCCCTCTGGATGGCATCCCTTCCCTTCAGTGTACTGACTGCACCACACACAGCTTGGTGTCACAGGCAAACATGCTGGGGGGTGCCAGTTCAGGTTCTGAAAGCTTCCACTAGTTTTTATGTTTGCTGACAAATTTCCAATACTGTTTATAACTGGATTCTGTAACCAATGTTTTCTACACAAAAAGTTCTTGGAATCACATCAAGGTAACTGGAAAATAACACTTAGCTGGTGATAATTTTGGCACAGTAGTTATACCCTCTTCAACCAGATTTACAGATAGCCAGTAACTCCTCTAGCACTTCAAGACACAGGGTTTGCATCTCCCACCCAATCGCAACCTACCAAGTCTAAATGCAAATGTCAGGTGCTGCCAGATAGTTTCATCTGTTCTCCAAATAGCTCTAATAGAAAGCAGATATTGAAGTGATATCCAATACTGATATGGACATGGAAACATTTAAAAAAAGATACCTCCTGGGAAGATTCACGTACAAATACAGGATTTTGCTATTTAATTTTGGCATATGTATGCAAAGCATGGCAACCATTTGCAGAACACTTTTTATTTTAGATCTCACAAGCTGCTTTATATAGACAAGCTCACAATGCAGGTGTGGTTAGAGCTGTTCTGTGCAATACTGAAGCTAGAGAAAATCAAAAACAAGTTTTCTTCAGATGCTATTCCTACAGCTATACCTTAAATTTAACTGTATTCCTGATGGCATGCTGCAGATTTTTCCAGTTTGCAGCAGAATCAAAACCATGCACCTAAGAAGTTGCTCATTCTGAGACTTCAGATTGATTTGCACAGTTTGTGACTGAAGACCTCTGGAGTACACTTTACACAATACATTTGTGTTTTAGCATGAACTGCTTGTCTTGTTACCCCTAAGGGTAAGCAAGAAAAATTTATTGTGAAAGCCTGAAAACTTTCCATCTTGTAAGCAACACCTCCCTCTGTCAAGAACTACATCAGAATTTGCTTACTTACATCTAGTGAATCTTCGTTGACCAGGATGAGAGACATACTCTGCGAAATGAGTCTGCAAGAGTACCCTGCAAGAGGGGGAAAAAAAAAAGACAAAACACAAAGACTTACTTTTTGGAAGGATATTTAAGGTTCAAGTTCAACCTTAAAATAAGCATCTACAGGTCAAATGACAATTTATTTTTTGAGCAGTTACTCCTATCAGGCAGACTGCTGCAAACTTTGCTGTATAGGACACACTCCAAGATGACAGATGTACTAGAAACATGGGCTGCACTCTATCTGCATTTTCAAATAAATCACTTGAGATGTTTTAATGAAAGAAAACACAGTATGAACTGGATGCAGTAAATATAGCCTATAGCCCTACATCAATTTTTTTCCCAAGTCTACAAGAAGGCAGGTTTGCCTTCAGCATATCACAGGAACAGATCCGAATGCATGGCTGCATCTACGCCAGATGACTGGAAGTGCACACATGTTTTCAGTTGATGCTACTAAGCTTCCTTAGCCCACACAAAGCTTACATGAGCATTTTTTACTCCTGAGTGTTCAGTATGGAAGGTTCTGAGCTTCATCATCAAGAAGTACAGATCAATCACACTCACAGAGTCCATACCGACTCCTATAGACAAAAGCTAACAGGACTACATTATTTTTAGTGTGGGGCTGGGACATGAAAAAACAAGAGCACCCAGAAGGCAATTCTGTACATCTCCCAGCACACCAAAATCCAAAACAAAAACTCTCAAGACAGAAGAAAATCTCTTATTTTTATAGGAGTTTAATGATTTACAAAATAAACAGGTTAATTCTGCTCATATTAACAGCAAGAGACAAATGCCAACTTGCATTCAGAGTGACACCACTACGTTATCCTAAAAGCTCATGCAAGTTCACTTGGGATTGGCATAGTGACAGCTTCATAAAATAGCAGAGAATTAATTTATTTGAAGCATACATCTTTTATTGCTCATCTAAGCTACATGGGAAAAGGAAATTCAATACAAGTATTTTTTACTTCTATTTTTTTTTATAGAAATGAATTACAGCAATTTAAAAAATTGCTATCAAATAAAATGGGATCTTGGGAAGTCTCTTACTTTTCTTAAATGGAGACTGGAGGGGATTGCAGTATAAGAGTAATGTCCCAGTGAAGAACCACTGCAAGGCTGACAGATTCAAAAGCTGAACACCACAGTCACCATAAAAAGATGAAGCGCTTCTTTCCATATCTTGCAACAGCAAGAGAAGAACTGAGGCACGAAATCATCTGTGGGATTCTTGGCTCCTTAGAAAGGCCATAGTGGGTCATCAATTGCAATGCAAATCATTTCCTCAGGCTACAGAGTTTTTATAATTGGGCTAGTTTTGTAGGTATAACCCAGGGTTAACATGTCTGCATGTGAGACTTCTGTAAAGAAAGTAAATCCCTCTCCTTTCCTTTGAGGAAGACATGCTTGTATCATAGCCAGGCACTCTCAGGCAGCAGGTTTGGTTACCTGCAGAAGTTCAGTTTCTCCTCAATTTTCACAGTTGTGTAGACTAGGAATATCAAGTGCAACCTTACTAATACATGTTAACAAGCCTAGGTTTAATTTCTGCTTCAGAGAACAATACAGTACAACACTGAACCCACACCTGTTGGGAAAAGGATAAAATATATTCTAGCGATGTGCAGCCTACAACATGAAAGCTTTGCAGACAGCCTCTGATTCTGCCTGTGATCAAATCTTAGACAGTAGTAGAAAACCTCCAACAGTTACAGGGAAAACACTGACGTTTTTCTCAAGTTGGTTTGCCATTTTCAAAAGTTAGTTTCAGGCTAAAAAATGCTTCCTTATTTTTACTGAGAAAAAGAGAATATTACAAATTTACGTACTTCACTCCATAACAAGGCTGTTCTTTCCCTAGGCTAAAGCAGTCTTGTGCAGTAGGCTGTTACAAATTCAGCATAACTAATTCAAAAGGATTTTCTAGTAGCATTTGATTAGAACAGCAGCTGCAACAGTGACCTGTAATTTCTAAACCACTGCTCACTACTTCACTTTACCTCTTCCAAAATGAGCAAGATGCCATTCTAGAAGTCAAGCTGGAAGAAAAAAAAACCAAAAAAACCTGTGGAAAACAGTTGCTCTGCTGTGCATCTTGGAAACCAGGGACTTAGAACAACTTATCCTGCAACTGAAACCATTTTGCATCGCCATCACATTAAACAGAAAGATCAAGACTAGAATAGGAGAATGTAAGTCAACCCTAACAAGAGTTTATAGGGGATCTATATATCATGTACAATTTCAGGACTAAGATGATGTTAAAATCTAGCAAAGTAGCTGGCAACTGTAGGAGTCCAAGTAGTAACTTTAAAGTATTACTAGAAATGTCTAAAGTTTTATAATGGTTTATGTAATAGTTATTACTGGCAACAACAGCATGGGAAGCAAAAATGCACTTGAGGATAAGTATTTTTGTCAATGCTTCTGAGTAAAAGAAGATCAACTGCTGGTTCAAAGCCAGGTATAAAATGTCAACCCACATCTGTAAGTTGATATCTAGCTCTTTAATTTAAAAGTCCAACTAAAAGTCCATGAAGCAGATGAATCAGGTGCTTCTGGGACTTATTTTCCTGTAAGTGTCCTGAGAGAAAGACTACTTGAACTAGAGTTCAAGATCATAGCCCACAGGCACATGCATACTGCAGGCATACAGAAATCAGCATCTGATGGAAGACTGATTATCCTCTGTGTTTAGAAAGGGCACAAAAGCCCTCTTCAAACTTTGCATAGTGATACAGGCAAGTGTGCTGGCATGGCTTGTCTCCTGAACTGAAACAAAGCACAGCTCACCAAGAAGTGTTCTTATCTCTGAGCTGGAAAGACAGGGTTCTGTTGGATGTACTGTTAGATGGGTAGGGAACCAGCTGGATGCCTGCATCCAGAGAGTTACAGTCAATGTTCCACACTCACACGAAAACCAGTAATGAGCAGTGGCCCTCAGGCCAGTCCTGAGACTGGTCCTCTGCCGTCTACACCAGGGACAGATGGGGATCAAGTACACCCTCAGCAAGCCTTGAGAGAACATGAAGCTGAACAGTGCACCTAAATAACTGTGGAGAGAAGTGATGCCAGCCAGAGGGACTTCGATCTGCTTGAGGAGCAGGCCTGTGAGAATCTAATCAAGTTCCACAGGGCCAAGTGCAAGGTCCTCCACCAGTACTGCAACAATCAAAAATATCCATCAGGACAGACTGAAAGCAACCCTACTGAGAAGCACCTAAGTGATGAAAGGTTGAATGACTCCACCTGGAATATCATATCCAGCCCTGGGGCCCCCAGCACAAAATAGATGTGAACCTGTTAAAGTGAGTACAAAAGAGGGCCACAAAAGCAATCAGAGGGCTGAACATCTCTCATCTGAAAGCAGCCTCAGAGTTGGGGCTGTTTAACTGGGAGAAAAGAAGGTTCTGGAGAGACCTTTCAATATACAAGCAAGAATTACAATAAAGAATGAGAAAGACTTCTTACCAAGGCCTGTAGTGGCAGGTCAAGAGCAGCCATTTCAAACTGGAAGAGGGTAGGTTTAGACTGGACATAAGGAAGACATTTATTATGATGGGGGGTAGCAAGACTGGAACAGGCTGCCCTGAGAAGTTATGGATGCTCCATCCCTGGAAGCGTTCAAGGCCAGGCTGGATGGAGCTTTAAGCAACCTGATTTATGAATGATGTCCCTGTCAGCAAGGGAGCATGAGGACTGCATGTTCAAAAGGTCATTTTCAACCTCAAACCCAAACAACTGTAAGGCAGTGCTTGCAGGCAGCTATCAATGCCCTAGGTAAGACCATTCAGCTTAACTATAGGGACTGATTCATGTTTTGGGAGGGACACACTTGCGTTAACACTATACTCTCATTCCCAGAAAACAAATCTCTTCCTAGGGAAGTTACTGTCTGGAAATACAGCAGTTCTGGTGTTCTGTTGAGCTCAAGGATGATGGCAAATAGAAATCTATTACAGGAGGTTTTGTCTCACTGAAAGGCAAAGATGATCCAGAGTCTGCAGACGGATGAAAATTATGAAGCTGCAAGAACACAGTTAAGCCCTCTAAAGTTGTTTGCAGGTCATGCTTAAAGATGCTTCTGTACCTGGAAGTCCCACAAGAGCTAGAGTTCAAATTACTGATCAGTATGAAAGCAAAAATGCAATCCAGAAACAAAGACATATGCAAATTCTGAACACCAAAGAATCAAGAGGAAGATGGAAGAACAAAGTACTCCAGCTCCTTGACAGAGCTGCAAAGAGCTGAAATATCCCTCAATACACATGCACCTCCATACAGCAAGCAAGAGTCAATAAGCATACCCTCCAAACACAATGAGAAAGTGAAAATACTTTTTGCTCCCCACATAGCATATTTATACCTGAAACATCTAGTGCACACATGGATTGGGTTTTAAGTTGAAGGTTTATTACAGTTTTATTGGATTACACACAAAAACTGGAAGAGTGCCACATGTTTATACCTTCAAGCCAACTTGACCATAAAGCTAATTAAGTTAGAGTTTTACTACCAAACTGCACCTTAAACTAAGGGATAACTTAGAAGTTTTAAGCGAGATTATTATTCTTCTCAAGTTGCTATAATAAAAGAAACAAACCAACACTTTTAGAGAAAGCTGGAAGTTAGTCTCTTTCACAGTCTTCAGAATAAGCTTATTTACTGGTGTTCAAGTAGCTGCTGTTGGTTAATATACCAACTTAATTCAGGTACTTACATCAAAATGTGTAGCTACATTTTTTTAACTAGTCAAAAGATGGCATTTCCCTTCTGAAGTTATCTACTGCTTGTAAAGTAAGGAAAACCTGCAAATTGTGATTTAAACCAGATAACTACCCTTTAAACAAGTTTTCTACCTAGGCCATCCACTGTATTTCTACTACAGCTGTATCAGTTCAGCAAGTTATTCCACTTCTTGGTACCACCTTCAACATATGAAGATACATGAAATTTAATTTGAGGCACACAAAAATTCTAGTCAGTCAAGTAGATTGCATAATGAAATTTCACTGAGTCAACCAAAATAGAAGTTTAAAAAAACACAAGACAAACCAGACCAAAAAAAAAAGTGGCAATGCTCAAAACTTTCCTCAAAATAATTTAAGTTCATTTACAGAGCATCATTGATAGAGAATCCTAAATGAGTTTGAGAAAGCAACCTATGTTGTTAAAGTTCCCTTTAACCTACACCTGCACATCTAAACAGACTGATCTTCAAATGTAAATGCAGTTGTGATACCCTAACAGCATATGTTGCCTTCTGCTAAAGGAGCTATTTATTCATTTATATATATTATTATTTTTGAGTTCATATTGACTTTAAGACTCCCTAATTACATGAATAATGCAACCAATGTTTAGAACTGCACACAAAAGGTCTCTGTGTATTTCAGGCTATTCCTGGGAGAACTAAAATGCTCTTTCATTGAACTTTCTTAGGTGAGATGTCTGATCACAGGACTGCAACTCCATCTCTTCCCCTCTCTGGGCAGATTTATGAGTGATAGGGAGAAAAATAATCAAAAAGAACACAAGAGCATCATGGCATTCTATTGCCAAAGATGGGACATTTGGGAGAGGTGGCATGACAAGGGGTATGGCTACATCAGGATATGTCCCCTTACCAAGTCCTTACTGTATACTAATAGATGTGCTGTAAGGGGACAGCAGGGTCAGTTATTTAAGCTTGAACAACCCACCTACACTCACAGACACGGTTTGGAAGACGCTGTAAACTATACATGCTTTGCATTATCGTATTTCCCATGGTATCCCAAACTTGATTCGAAGGCAGTAAGAAAAGAAAAAAACCAGCTCTAAAACCGTTTCTGAAACATTAGTCTGGTAGAGTTCTCCTGTTACCACCAGAAAGCAGAGTTACATACATTCATTCAATTAGAACTGCATTTAACCAAGAGCAGATGGGTCCCTTCTGCCTCAAAACAACAATAAAAAAAAAAAAAAAAAAACCAAAAAAAAACATATAGCCTGACACAAATAGTGAAGACTTCACTACAAAATCCCTTCTCCAACACTGTGCCCTGATGCCAAGGAACCATTCTATAACAGCAGGACCAATTCTATTTAAAAACACACTCAGCACATCTTACATATGACCTGCTACACACCAGACAAATTCAGAGTAACCAGAATGATGGATACCTATATTAAGAGCTGTTTCCTGTTTGTCACCTGTCAGAATCCATATCTTAATTTCTGCTTTTATTAGTGTGGCTATTGTTTCTGGAACACCTGCTTGCAGGCGGTCTTCAATGGCTGTAGCTCCAAGAAGTAGCAAATCCTGGAGAAAAAAAAAAAGAAAATAAACCCTCAAATTCTTTTAAGATAAATCTCTGTTTGGCATATACTCAAAAAAGGAATTAAGACAGCATGTTGCATCTCACTGTTAATACTGCACTTTGACAAGCAATATACACCACAATAAGTTTGTAGGGTGGCTATTCTACTTCCTCTGCATACAATTCACATTTCAAGAGGTACAGAATAGAACAGAGTGTTTTTAATCAGAAAGATGGCAACATTTCAAGAATAATTGATTGAAGTTATAAAAACCAAAGTTAGCCTATAGATGAACATGTATACTAGACCATTCACTAATCACCATAGCAACATGATGAGTAGTCAGTTTATATATTTAAACTCACAAAACAAAAATTTGGCATCACATCATTTAAACTAATTTCCGCCTACAAAATGTACATATAGACTGGATACAATCACTCAAAGCAAAAATTATTGCAACTATTTATGGATCTAATCATTACATTTGTGTAATACAAGTGGTATGAACATTAATCAATCCAAGTATCTCTAATCAACATACAGATGTTGCCAGAAATACATATCTCATACAGTGCATTTAATACTACAGAGTTATCTGTATTCCCAGGCAATTCTAAAACAATTGCTTGAGGAGATTTGGCTACATTACAGTAAAAAAAAAAAAAAAAAACGAACAGGCAAAAAATACCTAAGAAATAAACCTTGTCAAAAGGTACAGCCTACTCAGATTTTACCTCTAAAATTATTTTAATTATTCTTTACATATGCAAAGATGCTCAACTTAAAACAAATTGATAATAAATTTAGGTATACCATATCATTTTAGAAATTGCACAGAAAAACGTAGCATTCTCTATTCTTTGTAGGGACTAAAATTATTCAACAGAAGTGAAGACAAAGGAACAGGAGTACAAGTTGCTGTTGCTCAGCCTGGGAATGATGAGGCTTCAGCATGATCTTACCATAAAGACCTTTCTATATAAAAAGTGGACTTATAAGAAAAATTAATAAAGACTGTTTACCAAGGCCAGCAGTGGCAGAATAAGGGGTGATGGTTTTAAACTGACAGAGGGTGTATTTAGTCCAGGCAAAAAGAAGTGACTTGTTTATGATGGGAGTGGTGGGCCACTGGAACAGGTTTGCCCCCTGAAGTGGTGGACCCATCCCTGGAAGTGGTCCAGGCCAGGCTGGATTGAGATTTGAGTATCATGATCTAGGGAAAGGCATCCCCATCCATGGTTGGGAGGCAGGGGTACAAGGATATGATCTTGAAAGGCCCCTTCCAACCCAAACTTTTCCATGATTCCATGGAGAGGGCATTAAAAGCAGCTCCTACTTGAATGAATCTAAGTGGAATTCCACATAGTGTGTAAGCTGACATTAGTTACCTGCCTTGACAGAGTTTCCTTTTTGCTATGAGAGATTCAGCTGGCAAAGGTGGCAGAAGTGACTCGTGCAAATCACTAAGCCTCTCAATGACTCATCAGCTCTCTCAATGCTAGCAACATTTGAGGGTTACAAACATAATTCAAGTGCACAATTGCAGGTGGTCTTTTTTCCCCAAAATCACTTGTTAAGAAGTTACACATGACAGCACAGGGATCAGCATGGCTGAGCTACCTGAGCAGGGGAGCTACCACTGCACCTGCTGAAGCCCTCTGAGCCAGCATATGGCTTCAGAAGGAAGTTAGTTCAATTTTGTCCTCACATGTGCACCTCTACTGTGATCCAGCAATCTCAGCACTCAGACTGAAAAAGTAGTTCTCTTGGTTTCATTTGAGCCCTTAGATGAAAAAACACCAGTCTGCAGAAATACATTATATTTTGTGTTAAGCCAAATGCCAGTTTATCTCTAAGGCCTGCTTCTTGGCATGACCAGCGAACATTAACAGTAAGGCATACAGTGGATAGCTCCTAATTCCAATTCTACAAGCCACTCATAGGTTCCTCCTTTTTTCTTAAACAAGATCCTAAATTGTAAAAAAAGCAGAAAGTAGATGACCAAAAATGACCTAAAGCTTGAAAACATATTTTGAAGTACAGCAAAAGCCATGTTCATTTTTAACCTCGGTGAAAACAGAGTGTGAGAGCAGGGTGAAAGAAGCAGAAAGCTAAAAGGAGCTACCCAAACCTACAGAACCAAGGATGAGATAACCACACTGTTACCTGTTACTGACACACGATAAACACAAAAGACCATTTGAGGCATTACTTGGACAACAAAGACCCAGTCTTCAGCTCTTACTAAAAGACTTCCTGGAGCATTATCTTACCCCCTGAAAGTTAGCTCCTATCCTAGTCCCAACCTCCTTGTGGACGCCCTATCCCTGGAAGCATTCAAGGCCAGGTTGGATGGAGCTCTAGAAACCTGGCCTAGTGAAAGGTGTCCCCAGCCACAGAATGGGGATTGGAAGTCAATGATTTTTATGGTTCCCTCCAAACCAGGCCATTCTATAGTTCTACAATTTGCCCCAACCAACTCAAAAAAACAACAGTGCTCCAGAACCTAAGCAGTATTTCAATATTAATTTTAAAAAATATTGAAGTTCGAAATATGTTTTAAAGAAACTACTACATAAAATTAAATACCTGGGGCAAGAGGGAAGAGCATGAACGTGTGGAGGTGAGGAAAGCAGCTACCAGCACTTCTGAAAGCAGCAAGACCAACAAAGCTCAGAGAAACACTGGCCCCTAGCGTTGGCATTTTAACATTTCGTTCACTTAGGATTAGCATTTCAAATGGGTTCTCCAACACCTACTTTCCCCTTCTAAAATTAGGAGTTCTGCAATTTGCATGGAATGCAGGTTTTCATCCTTTTTTTAGTTCACACCCCTATAAGGTTTTGGTGAGCCCTACATTGTGCCTGCAACAGCTTTCAAAAACCTTGAATTTGACTGCTGCATGAAAAGGAAAACATCTCTTCATACCCTAGTACATGGGAACTTTGTGCAACACAACAGTCTACATATATCATCTTCATCAAGATATTACAACAACCTTACGCAAAACAGGAAGATTTTAAAAGTGTGAGAAAAGGGGTTTTAAGTAGAATTTTTTTTATCTGTAAATTTAACTCAGATTTATAGATTAAAACTGTGGACTGAACATGTTACCATCTACTTACCTTTCCAGTTTCTCATCTATGAAATTAAAAGTTTATTTCATTGTATAAAGCCCAAATGCCACTGGAAAACGCACATGTAAGGTAATCTGCATCTGATCATCAAGAAAGTAAGTTTTACCTTTTCAATGATCTCATAGCACTCCTCCAGCTTCTGAGTTCTGTCTTTCAGAACCGTACTGGATTCATTGTAGACATTCAACCACTCTCTGTAAGATGTCTCTGACAGATCAGCATAAGCAATGCACAACGTCCTCAGACCTGCCAAACAGAAGACAGCCATTACCCACAGTACAATTACATTGAATATCATCAAATCATTCACATGTAATGAATGCTCAGTTCTAACCCTCATGCTGGAACAACAAAAGCTTCTAACACACATTGTTAAAAAATCTCCCTCTACGTTTTTTAAGCACTTGAATTTCCACAAATGTAAACCACAAATCTGGTTTATTCTGGCTACTAATAGTGGTGCAGATCAAGAGAGCACTGGACAAAAACTTTTTGCTAAGTATGAAAGCAACCTTGCCTTTCATGTACTTTTAAAAACATAATATTAAAAAACAGGCTACATGCTGTGATTGGTGATATTACTTAGTCAAACATCCTCCACAGTTTGTGCTTCCTTTTAGCAAGAAGACTGTGTTCTCCTTCAGTGTACCAATGTAACTCACACAAATAATAGGAGTTACACACGCACAATATAGTGAAGAGTGTCCATGAAGTATGACAACAAATTTATTAGACCACTGGCAAAAATTAACATAGAGAAGTAACAATTCTTTTTTCTGTCACAAACCAATTAAAAAGGAGTGTGTGCCATAAAATACAAAAAGTTCCAGTACTGGGAATTTTTGGGAGTCTGCAAAAACATAGTTTTTAAAAAAAGCTGACTGGCATTTTCAGATTTTGGAAGAAATACACTGGTTCATGGTTTTACTATAACTCAGGTATCCTATGCTATCACAGAAGAAGGAACAAAGCCAGCTTCCCAGTGAACAGAGGTGTTACACCAATCAAAGGCCTTACAGAACATTTCAGATCATCTTTGATGTCTCAGTCTACCAGGCTTCCCAGCATATTGAGGTTATCGCTCTGCTTCATAAAAAGATGCTGGTATCCAACTTCTACCCTGGTAAAAACACCTCCAACTCCAATGTAATTGAGTTATTCTGGGCAATACAGCTCATGCCCTTTCCCTTCATCATGGACACACAGAACACTGTCTTTTCCTTCCAAATTCCACTTCCCTACTGAAATCACACAGAAGTTGGACAAAAACCTCCTTACAGCTGAAGTCAACCTACAGTTGTTAATTTGCTGATAACACACCTCATCTTTATCTTCACAATCATCTTAGTTGACACCACAGAGTTTCGACAATGCAGAAGATGCTGCAAACAATTTAATGAATTCTCATGGCATGCTGTTTCTCTTACCTTCCGTTGCGAAGTATTCAAGATGGCACAGTGTTTGTTCCATATACTGGGAATCTTTTGAAAGCCTCTCAAAAATTACATTATCCTAGTAAAACCAAATTCATGACAACAGAGTAAGTCTACATATGAAGTTGCCATTTGTGTATTTACAAGCTCAAGAGAAGCAATCTGAACGGACTTGCTAATATCAAAAACAAAATTTACAATATATTTAGGGTTTAGAGACCAATTTGAGGCATCTGCATTGTGCTCAATGGCAGAGATACTGCATCCACTACAAATAGTGGGGAGAGAAGCACACTCTGCCCTCCTCCCTTCTTTCCATAAACAGGTCCCCATTACTGGGCAGTACAGCACACTTCTCTATAAATTACCAAGCCAATACATGGACTTTCAGACAACATAAATATCTGATCTTATTCAGTGTATATATAACGGTCCTGTGCAGTAGACTTTGCTGCAATCCTTTCCAGAAAAGATTCCTTTTGATGTTTGAAAAAAAGGCAGAAACACTGATCATGTTCTTCCACAACATTCTCTCAGAAACAACCTTCTTCCTGCAGCAGCTTGCTTTATCAGTAAATTAAAGGACAATTGAAAAGGCCCCATTAACAGCTGAAATCAAAATATAGCATCACCTACATATCTAGAGTCTCTGGATTTTATTTGTAACTACCAGAACAAGTTTACAAACACATGTAATACAGAAACCCTACTCAGACATCTGCTCTTAAGCTAAGTAAGCAGACCTACATCTAGAGCTGATTAGAGATAGGCATACAAACCTAACTGTTATGGAAGCAACAAGCAGAGGATGACTACCAGAACGTGGAAGTGTTAATGCAGAATACTCAGTTAACTTATACTAACATGAGTGGCAGATGCAGCACATTAGTACATCTAGGTCTGCTCATATGGAAAACAGCAAGAATTTGTACCACAAACTCTCCTGTTCTCCATCCCTTTCAGTGCCACGCTCCAAAGAATGGTGTGAACTCAGGCACGGCATGAACAAGCAAATTTCAAGTCTGTGTGGTCCCAACAGGCATAGCACTGTGAACTACCACACAATGGCAGTAGGCTTCATTCACTTCCACCACACCAGAATGAAGCCAGCACATCTTTATCAAATCAGGGGAGGTAAATGGAAGCAACAGAGCAGTGAACACTGACCTATATGTCATGACAAATTCAAGCAAACAGGATCCTCACAGAGGTCAGAAAGAGTTTTTTTCCCTGTTGCAAAAAGCCAGCTCCATAGTTTTCCACTGAAATTAGAACCACTCTCTTGCTGTGGACAATGCTAGTTTTGGAGCCTTTGTACTGTGCTAAGTTATTGCTCTTGTCAGTGCAGACAGAAGCACAACATGGTGCAAGTCATGATGACAAATAACAGCAGGTGCAGAGATGCAAGAAAGCCAGATCAAGAGCCAACCACTTGAGAACAAATTTTAGTGTTATAAATTCAGACAACAGCATTTACTCCAGCTCCTGAACTTCTGCTGCACAGCTGGGTGAAGCCCTGGCTTTGCAGTAAGGGGACTCCTCCCATGAGTTTCAGGATTTCAACTGGGCAGTAGAAAGCCTAGCAGTCTTCCAGCCAGCAAAAGGAGTCAGAGCAGGAATGACAGCTCTCTTAAATCACTTGGCCCTAAACAGAAAGCCAACAGGTATTATGTATGAGACATGAAATGTCAGCATCAGCCACAGCTGTTGAAACAATAACTGGCAGTGTTCTCCATTAGGCAGCATAATTACTTACAGCCCCTTTGCAGTAGAGACGTAGCTGTCCTGCTGGAGTTCGAACAATCACTGACATTCTCTTCCTGTTGCTATTGAAATAAAAATATTTGCTTTCATTAGTTAAAGTGGTAAAGACTAATTCCTATTCTAGCCAGCGGATTTTCTCAGATGTGTTTCGTGCATCTGAGATTAAATGGGATATAGCAGCAGTAACTTAAGATCCCACAACCCTTGACCACAAGGAGATATATTAAATTGCCTATTTCCAGCTTCAGCTCTATGTCTCCCATTGGCAAGCACTCCAGACTTACACCCATATGCGAGCAAGATTTTGAGAAAGAGCAAGATAGTATTGAAATCATCTTGAAAGAAGGAGATTCACATTTATCTCATTATTCTGTGGCAGTTTTTCCTTATTTCTCAAGGAAAATTGCTTTGGGGACTCTAGAAATTGAATCATTAAGGCTGATTACATCTTGAGTACAGGCATAACAGAAACTGAAACAACCAACCACTTACAAGAGCAGTTAAATAGCTTACTAACTTAAAAGAAAGTAAAAACATAATAGAAAACAATCATGGTATAGATCAGTTCTTGCCATCTACTAATTCTTTATATTGGTCTAATCAGACACACAATTGGAACCAAGTAGAAGGAAGTCAGGCCCCCTGCACAAGGACAGGACAGTCAAGTTTGGCATAGGTCTTAAAAAAAATGCAGACAGTAGAATAGTGTACACCAACATCTAACAAAGGAAGGCAGGCAAGGATAATTTTTTTAAAGAAATTCTGATGGTTTATTTATGAATCTCTCCTTCAAAAGAGGCACTGAAAAAAACCCACAACTTCCAAGAGGCAAATGAAAAAAAATCAACTCTCATCAAGGGAGCCCTAAGAATGTGTGATTTCATAAAAATCTTTTCCTCAGCAAAAGGACCAACCTGGAAGCATCCTCCTTACTCATTAAGTTTTTGCCAATGTGTACAAAGAGTGTAGAGCCATCTCCCTTTTCCTCTTGAGGTTGCTTTGAGAAATGCAGTCACTTTTCAGAGCTCAAGAACCATGTGTACTAAAGTAAGCTCTTGGCACATATCAGACAAAACAAATCCTTTCTGAGGCTTTCTGAAGGGGGGTTTGAAGGACAGCAGTTACCTGTGCTCAGAATTTCTGCAACATCCTAATGACACTGGGAAACTTTTGTGTGCTTTTCAAAAACTAATTACACAACTCCCTCAGTGGTTAGGAGGGAATGTGCTACACAGAGGAGAACTGAGACAGGTTTTTTTCTGCTGCATGCAAGCTGCAGCTACAATCCTGTCTAAAGACACCAGGGTGCTGGTTAACTTGGCACAAACCCTCAGAGTCTTCCAGGGCCTTTTCAGATACTTCCCACAAGTAGCTTATATAGCAACATTCTGACTGGAAAGAGGGAAGTACTCAGGAATAATCTTCAGAGTAAGTCAGGACACAAGAAAAGCCCCCTATCCACACCATCCCTACCATTATTTTACATAGTCCTTTAGAGCACAACCAGCCAACTCAAAGACAGCAGAGAACAGGAGTTCAAGGTTTTAATTCACAGCAAGAGAAAAAAACAGCAGCAACAGAAAAAATATTATACTGACTAGCACCATCCAAACTGACATAACTTTATCAACTGACAAAGAGAAAGCACCTTGCTACTTCCAGTCACTTGGGGGACTCAACAAAGCTTCTTGCTACCCAAGCAATGCCCATCCTAATGAGTCTGACAAATCAGCAGTGCTTGCAATGTTTATATTTTCACAGCTGGCATGGTTCTTAAGAAAAGGCACTTCCAGGTGCAGTTGCCATCTACTCAAAAAGTAATTTGCAGAAGCACTATAAAAGTGCCATCTCAAAGTGTGTTCTTGAAGTAGACAAGGGACAAATCAGGACTTCTATGAGTCACAGCAAGATGCTTCCAGGCCAGCAACTTCTCAATAAATGAACAGAGCTGCAGTGGCAGGAAAAAGTTTAATGATGCAGTGCCAACAGCCTCCAGTTCATAACTCATTCATAGTACATCAGAAATAAGATGAAGAGGGTGGAAAAAAAATAAGGAAATTCTGCTTTTCTACTGTATCAGCTGTAACATTTTATTATAAAAAATGCTATTTAGAATAAGAGTTTTCTTATTACCCTGAATTTCACATATTAGAGGAAAACTTACCTGGAAAACTCCAGCACATTAAGAATTTCAAAGGTTTTCTCTTTCCCCAGCTACAAAAGAAAAAGTGTACTATTCTAAGTACAATCTACAATATATTCTTACACGTGCAAACACCCGAGGTGAGCTCAGGTGCCTCTGTCACACATGCCAGTGTAAATAAATGTGGCAATGGCTCCCTCCACTGGTTAAAGGTTGCAGAGCCCTATTTACTGAACTTAATTGAGCATCCTGTATTGTGGCATCCTTAATTCACTACTGCTACACCATTACAAGGCATTAATTTCCTTTTTGATTAGGCATGCTCTGGAAGCTAAGCTGCATATTTAGTTCTCAACAGCCATCCATTAAGAGACATATTACAGGCTGTATTATTTTAACTTTTCCAAGTTAAAATAAGCATGCCCTCCAGGTTTAGTATTACAATAACTTTTGACTGACCTCCATTAGTATTTCTTTTATTTTAATTCACAAAAATATGAGTTATATTTTTCGCAGCCAAAAAAAGATTAGCTGAGGAGAAATTGCTGTTATCACCAGCAACTCTCTGCTGGGGCTGAGCAGGAGCAACCTGAAGCAGGAGAAATATTTTAAAACATGGGTCATCCCTATTGTATAGTGCACAGATGGAGCAGTAGGAGTTAGAGCCATAGAACTCTGGTGGCATTTGTAGCATGCAGTTAAATAAAGTGCAGCAGTAAAATCTAATTGCAGTATAGACTTGTCCAAGGCACATATCAACTCAGCAACATCCCCAAGATGAAAAAGCAGCTCCAAACTACTTTCTACATGCTGCCACTAATGCAGGCAATCAGGAGAGACAGGAACCTCTGAGAATGACAGCTTTTATTGCTGACTATAGATTAACAATGCCCTCAGCTTGGCATTATGAGTATACAACTAGGCCAGACAGGCCTGGCTGCTCCTGCAGAAGAGAGAAGCATTTAGGTGGCTCTAGATGACACTATTCATCCTTCAGCTAAGGAGCAGTTTGAGAATTTGTAAAAAGTTTGTGACAAGTCCTAGAAGATATGTTTCAAGTGCTTAGCTTGGCAGTGTACCAAGAAATTTGAAAGGGAACATACCTGAGGGGAAGGACAAAAAAGATCCATTATTCTTAATAAGCACCCTACTAGCTGCATCTGTGTAAATCTGGAGCCACTTTAGCTTAGACTGCAACTTGAGTCTGAATTTGTGGCCCCATGAGTCTGAGGCTGCCTGTGCTAACTTCAGACCCCCGTGCACACAGCTACATCCTCTATTGCAGATCTTACTCAGAAGAAAAAAATGAAACATTTAGAAGAACAGCATTAAACACAACAGTCAGAAAATCTCCCAGACACATTAATTTTCTTCTAATGTGAGCGTTCCCATCTGTGCTTCCTGGACAAAGGAAATATTTCTCAGGCACAGCTGCTGTCATTTCCCATGTAAGGTTGCAACTTCTTATCACCCATGCCACATAGAGGGGCAATGGACTTTGCATTTTCAAACAGATTAAGACAATTTTTCTGTGTACATAAGCCCTTTGCATGTAGGATCCTAAAGGCCCTCAAAAAGGGCTTTCACAGGGACCAGAGAGGACACCTGTATGCTCTGCAAGAGCTTAGCAGCCTGTGCCCTGCACATCCATCACTTACCGCATCGATGATAACAGAGTGGGGAGTCCGTCCTGTGAAGACATAACCGAGTTTTTTTGCTCCTTTCACTAACGCTCCTTCATCTGCCAAAACAAAACAAAACAAGCTTGAACTTAACCTGGTATATTAAAGAGGCCTCCAAAACCCATATTTCAATATGGCAGATGGCCAAAACAGAATCCCTTTTCCTTATGTACTCTCATCCATAGGGATGTTAAGAGTAGTTCTGCACAGCCCTGCACAAAAAAAATCAACACTTTAGTCCTACAAAGGCCATACAATATCAACTACACAAACCTAGTACTTAATCTGTGTAAGATACCCTGTAACTACTGAAGCATTGAGCTCTATTCTTGTGGAGGTGTCATACTTTTCCACACAAAAAAGGTGAAATAGCTGTTCTGAAAGCAAGATCAAAGCTCTGTTATTTTTAATTCCTACAGTATGTGTTTGATCCATTTTCTGCTGGGAAGGCACTAAGTTCAAGTACTATAGAAATACAGCACTGTTTTCCAGAGAGACTCAACTGGGCAGTGTTATTAAGAGCTCAAATAACAGAGCTGCAATCAGAGCCAACACCTGTGCCTCTTGTAGATAATTACAGAGCCTCCTTAAGGAGTAAGCATCATTAAGCACAACCATTATATAGGTGGATTTAGTGCCTAATTCAAGCAATCCTCATGTCTCTACAGCTCCCTTAGTCTCCTCATGGCTCATCATGTTGACCAGAACTTCCTTATATGAGCTCTTTATCCTACTTTTCAGACACCCCATTAAGACATAAAGAAGAAATGAGGTTGCTTCGTCAACTACAGCAATTCTAGAAATATCTTCACTAAAGAGATAAATTCAAGGGAGAGCAACATACCCCAATCTGGCCCCACCTAGCTCTGTCTGCGCTAACTGAAAGGAATAAAAATATGGGTGAAGGGCGGGCCTGAGTAATACCAAGACTCTGAAAGTTTTGGTTGTATTGTGTCATGTATCAGCACTTGATAGCTTCTTATCTTACTCTAAGCAGATAGTAGATCAAGAAAGAGTTTGTTGTCAGGCCAAAAAAGTAACTGCTCATGCAGAAACAAATCATTTCTTCCTAAACACTCACATCTTTTACTTTCAGCCCTGCAGAAAGAGTACACGGTCTCATGAGCATGGAAGGACCCTAAGCTCAGCCTATCTCTAAAGAAACATCATGGACTCTGCGGTTTTGTAGGAAGCATTCAAAACCAGTGTGTACTGATTACAGAAGATGCCAGATCTATTGCTAGCACCATGTGGGACATTCTGCTTTCAGAATCAATGACCTTTAAAATGACCTAGAGTTTTATGGACCTTCCTTCCATCTGCTTTCACTCCTTCAACTCATTCCCCCCTCCCTCCCAAAAAAGAAAGCAACAACCAACCTGGAGAGGAGGCCTGGTAGATTATTGTATTTCCTTGTCTCTCGGGAACAACAGTATGACACACGGCCAGCAGTGTGAGGAACTCCTGTATGTGCACGGCTGTGGGCTAGACAGGACACCAGGAGAGTGAGGTTTAGCACTGCACACAGACTGAGGAACCTGCTCACTAAACTGAGATGATCTCTTAGGTACCACAGACAAAAAACTCCAAAACATATCCTGTTCTCTATTTATAGCAGTTCTTTTAACCTCAGAACACCAAGACAGCACAGGTCAGGGCCAGCATTGATGCACTAGAGAGCTATTGATAAAGACCTCATTCAAGTTGCAGAGAGCCAAGAAGGCTGAGCATTCCCTCACCCCCCACCCATAAAAGCATTACTTCTTTAGCACCCTAAGCTTCATACAGGGAAAGACACCTATCACAAGATGATGATAATCTAGCATAACAGGAAATATTACTACTGGCAGCTTCCAACAGATTGACAGCAACCACACCAGAACTAAACTTGCTGCAACTGCACACTTAGTGATGAACATCCAGAGCTAAGAGCGGCTGAACAGCCAGTAGAAGGCAAAGTCACATGTCCTTCCAAAGGAATACAGCACCTAGCCAAGCATAAAATTAACCTATGGTCCCTACACATTCAGCATCAAGAGAACATGCAACATAAAGCACTGTTTCAAAGTGCTTAAACAGACACCAGGTCTGCAACTCAGCAAAGTTAGCACTTAAATCACAGGCCTCTGATCAGCCAGCTGTGGCAACTGCAACCTTTAATGATGTGAAATTAAGTCACTTATCCCATTCTTCCCTCCTTTCCATCCCTGCCTCTGGCACAGGATTTATAGTCTCACAGCAGTCAGGAAGAGCACAGCGGCCATTTGTTCAGTGACTCAGACATGAACTTAGTAGTTCTACCTTTGCAGAATGTCCTACTTGATTTTGCAAACTCACAAAGAATTTTTGCATATAAAAAAAATCATCTAGGTTCCACATCTTTCATTAGCACAGCATATGCATTGGCAATATGAAGGTTTAATTAGTAGAAAGTAAACTACTATAAAAGCCACAAAACCATGGCAGCTGGCAAACACTGTGGCAATGTGTGTAAACAAAGTAAGCATATCAGAAAGTAATGTAATAAAAATATTGAAAATTCAAGCCCTATACTCTTAGCCCTGTATTCAAAGTACTTCATGTACTTTGCCATGAATATTTTCAAAGTAACTGTTTCACACAGGACCTTTACCTTTGCAGACTGAAACTTCCAAATTGTATGGTCACATGCCACTGAATTAACAAGAGCTGTTGCTTTCAACATGCTGGGGTGCAGAAGCTGTGCTCAGGAAAACAAACTTATTTACACACTACTATCTGAAAAAGTCCACAGCAAATTACAGTCAAGAGGTAACTGCTGTTCCATCATTTGCAGTCAAAGTAATCTAAGTTTTATCTCTGTGTCAAAAGGCACAGCCTGCCATATTCTCATTTCAGCATCTGTTGCTGCAGACCTTTGATGTCTGTCTTACACTTTTATCACCTAGCCCCTTAACAAGCTTTCATAGTATGTGTTCTATCAGCTGGAAACAACCTGTCTTCAGTACTGACATGGATTTTAATCCTTCCTAAGTATGTATTTATGTTTTCAAGCCAACAACAATTTGCTGCTGTCTTGGTATTTGCACAGCCCACAATGTATTACAGGGCAATCTTCCAATTCTGTTTCAACAGATCACCAGAGGCCCAGCTTATCACAACAGCTCCTCCACACAGCTGTCATTTGTTTCCTTTCTGCATTGTTCCAGCACTGACAATATTTGTTGCACAGACATGAATCAGGGTAGAGCATTCAAATACCTGCTTTGGACCTGTGAACAGAAAATCTGTTAATGGCTTCTGTGGCAACACATCCCTTTCAAGATGGTGAGCTGAATCCCAGCACAGGACACAAGTCCCACAGCTTAACCAATTCTGCTTTATTACTTATTTTCTTCTATCAAGTCTTTGACAGTATTCTTACTGACGGTCTCTGAGAGACATTTCTTGCCTGTTCATGTGTTAAGGTCAGCCTTATTTCTTCCTCCCTCCCCTTTTAGCTCTCTATCTGTAGTTGGAACAAAATTCTTATTCATCAGTCCAAGGTAGTTCTCATTTTAAATGCCTTCTTCCCTCATTTTTCTTCTAGTGTGCCAACAACTCTGGGTGAAAGCCACTGCTTCTTCCCTTTTTGTCCCACTCAAAAATCCATGAAGAAACTAGTCTACAAACATCTGTACAAGAAATACACTCCACTGGATGAATTATTATGTTTGCTGTCCCTACCAGCTGAGAACCACATACACATTGCAGTGGTGTTCTACTTCGGGAAGCAGATTCTGGATTCTCATCTACAAAGCACTATCCTCAGGGAAAGCAAAGCTCAGCTACCTAGTAGGCACAGCACTATCCATTATCAAGCAAACCACCGGGGAGAAAGCAAGTTTTCATCCTTTCATGGTTCCTATATTTAGAAGAACAAAACACTGAGACAAGCCTCAGTCTTCTGGGGAACTGCCCTGTGCAGAGCTTCCTATCTGCACATGTTACACATGCACTTATCTTGACTCTTCACTCTGAAGACACTATTTTTCTCAACTGTTAACAGACTCAAAATCACAAGGAATTTGCATGTGAAGTTAAAGATACCTTTCATTTTTCCTTTAGGTGTAGCAGTATCAGATTAGTGCCCTCATTCACAGTACTTCCAGGTGAGCAAGACTGACAGTTTTTTGAGCAAATGGTGTAGAAATGGCCAGTTGGATACTAAAGCACAGTCTAACAACCTGAACTTACTACTTTGCATCTAAGTGGCACATTCTGCCAAGGAAAACTGAAAATGCTTATGCATTTAATTACCACTGAGCATTACATGGTAATTCTCAACATCTTAAAAATATATGAACTTCCTACCATTTAGTTCACTAAAGTATCTGGAGAACAGTGTGAGGATCCAGCCATGCTGAGCACCCCCAGAACAGTGAAGTGGCAGGACTGGAGGAGACCAAGATACTTCAGGCACAGACTGAGAGAAGACATTAACCAGCTTTTGAATAATCAAGAGAATGAAATTCAAGTGTATCTTGCCCAAAACCAATGAGATATGACCTATAATTAAAGACACTGCCTTGTACTTGAACAAAAGTACTGAAGTCCCACGCACAATAAGAACAAAAGCAGATTAGAGAAAAATATATCTCACCAAGCTCTAACAATTTAATTGTGAGCTATAAAATGATGTGTTTGGACAGTTTTCCAGCAATCTGAACTAAAGCCTCCCATAGGCTTTCATCACCTGAATATGTTTTTTCCCCCTACTGTATTTCAAATCTCAGTTTTTCATCCCAGTTAGCCGTGATATGTTTTTCTGGTTCTGCTTTCCTATGGAATTAAGAATCAGCTGATGATAGCTGTCATTTTGACAAAGCTTGAAGGGATAATAGCCTCAGTTCCCACACATCACAAGAATAAATAGACGTGTTGGTGAGGTCTAAACAAACACTTTCAGTGTGGTAAAGGCTCAATGTGAGCACAACAGCTGTCTGCTCTGCCTGGCCAGCTGCTGAAGTACTCATCACATGTACTCACTGAGCCAATTCACGCATCTGCAGCTACACCATGTCTGCTGCTTCTTGGCCAAGAGATAAATTGGGGGCCACAGAAGAAACTTCATATGCAAATTAAAATTCACAGATGAAGTTCAGAGAGAATCCTGGGAGATAAAGGAGTCTAGGATGAGAACCAAGTCTGATAGTTCCTTCTTAACCTCCTTCCCTGCTCTCCTATCACTAGTGTAAAATATAACCCCACATGAAACAGGCTTGCATCTCTGTGCTGAGCTCATTCACAGGACATATGCAACTAGCAAGCACCAAGATGAACACCATCTAGCACATTCACCAAACATTCCTTCCAGTCTTAGCAAAGACTCTTATTAGAATAAGAGTTGATGCCATTTTCTCTATAGAAACAAGACAGCATCATACACTTGGTACAGCTGCACAGTTCATCCAAAAGAAGCCAATAAAAAGAAAAAGCACAGGCAGACAGAGCTTAGTACTTTGTCCCACATCTTGGCATAGCAGCCAAGAGAAACCTCCACAGGTTTTCAAGACAAGTTATTTTTCCCTGGAACAATTCCTACACGGCAATAATTCTTGAACTGCTCAAAAGTGGACTTGGCTATCAGTCAGCCCTTACACACCAGAGGCCCAGAAGAGCTATGAAATTTAGAGGTGATGCAGGATGCTAGAAATCTTCCTAGCAGATGGAAGACAGTCTCATGAGTCCAAGTGCATAATTTTTTATTTTCAACCTGGAAAGAAAATTACTTGGCACTGTGACAGTTCTAAACTAACACTTGTGGCTGAATTGAAAAAAAAAAAAAGATTAAAATCTTCAAGAGGAGAGCAATGAACACTTAATGAGAGCATGTAAGAGATCACACACCTTCAGCTGCAGAAGGGCAAATGTTCAGAGGGAATTGCCCAAGTTCAGCACCATCTAATTTCACTAGGTAGCTTATGCTAGAACACTTCAGTTTTTCACCACAGTTCACTAAACGAGTAGAAATTGACAGACACCTGCAAATAGCATCTGCAGCTATCTATCAGCTGTAAAAATGAAGATTATACAGATTTTTAGATAGAAAGAAGCAGTTTATGCACCTCAGTAGCTGACCTAATGCAAAAAAAGCCAGAAAGACCCTTCTCTCTACCACTATCCTGGAATTCAGCCCCTCCTCTCACCCACAGCCTGAAAAATACACCCAAACATGCTCAGCAAACTGTAATAAGTAGTCCTTGCATTCTCATGTCTTATGCTAAACCACCACTTGCCAGAGGGTGGCACCCATTCCTCCAGTACAGTCAGGCTCTGAAAAGTATCTTTGGCCAGTCATTTCCCCACTCATTGTCTGAGGGCTGAGTTCACACAATGTGCTCAGTCCAACAGCCAGCTGCACAATGACATCAATATTTGTCTGTTTAAGTAACCAGCAAAAAGGAAACTGGAAAAGGGTTCAGCATAGAAGATGGCTGAGCTGTCTAGACTAAATGACACTTAGAGAATCTACCAAAATCCCTTATTTTGCCTGCTACAACAGTGTATATTTGTTTTATCCCCCAAAGAAGAAACCACCCAGAGAAGATCAAATAATTAGGTAGCCCTAAAATAAGAGGCCATCTCAAGGCTAGGTAAGAAATTCCATCTAGCAGCTCATTTGAGATACATCTCTTCTGCTGAGTCTATTGAAATACACCAAAGCATTTTTCTCTAGGCATACCTAAAGCAACAGCAGCCAGAAAGAGCTCAAAGACATTTTACCTGCAGTCTACACCTAAACTAGAATGAATACCTGGAGTCAGCAAGTGCCATAAGCCATAACTGTAGCCATAAACTAACAGGACACAAAGGAACAGGACATGCACAAATCTTGGTGGCAAGTCATGTCCAGTGGGAAATCTTTCCATAGTACATGAGTACAAATCCACATAGGAAACCAGGGCACTGTCCTGAGTGGGTCACCTTGCTGGAGGTTAGAGCACAGGAGCCACCTTTAGGGTCCATCACCCTGCAGAATACATAGTGCCACATCAAGTAATTACTCCCTTATAGCACTCATACCATGCTGCAGTTCTTAAGTACTGCACAGCAGAACAGAAAGCAAAGCCTTCCTGCACACAAACTGTATATTGCAAGTACATTTTAGATGCTCATACTAAACTAAACCAGCCCAGTTGCAGAAGTTACACTTAGGAGAGCAATCAGCTGACTGAGTTTGTGCTTGCCAATGCTCAGACCCCATACTGTGAGACAGTCTGCAGAGAAAAAGGGTTATGCTTTTTGGCAGATGAATTAATTGTCTGGTGTCCAGTCAGACACTTCATACCCACATGACTTCCAAATAAACAATGAAGTGACACTGTAAAGAATAGATCCCTTTAGGATTCAACAGCTAGGCTAAGACTACCACTCATTAACACTCATGCCAAACTTGAATTTGCAATTAACTCCCATTTCTTACATCCTTTACACAACTAGAATTCCAAACCCTTGCAATACTTAAGGCTCATTCCAGAACCACCTTGAAATGCTACAGATTACAGTTAAAAATGGTATAGATGTTTCAACACTCCAAGTAGTTTCTTTTAAAGAATTCAAATTTCTATCCTAACTTGTTACAAAGCATTACCTTCCATATACAACAGAATATACAAAGCTGCCTTAGAGGTAGCTAGAATCTGCATCAATGCCATTGCTTCTTTAATTCAATTGTAAGACAAGTGGGCAGAAAGGCGTTGGAGGGAGCTATTTTGATTCCAATTTACCCTCTCTGTGCTTGCATGACACGCTCACAGAGCAGACTTAATCACACAAATAGATTTGTTCAGCATTGAATTCCAGACAAGCCCAGAATAGGGCATTTAAGAGGCGTGATATTCAAAGAGCAGACTTACATGATCATTTTCAATGTTTTGCAGCAGTCTTGGGTCATCAAATTCACACGATTCACTGGTGGAAGGAGGTAGCTGGCTGCGGAGCAAAACAAGCATATTCAAACAAGTGGCAACATTGCCAATCCTAGTACTTAATCTAGTTTCTTGGGAAACAAATTTAAAAAGCAAAGTAAGACTCCAGTGTCCTTGAAAGCATTGTGAAAAGATCATATGAGTAATGCAGCAAGTGCTGAAAATTAACACCAGCAAAAAATCCAAAATGGTTATGGCTGACAGCGTATTTCAGAAGATTCAAGTGTCAATGCAGTTCCTGGGACAGATGTAGCAACAGCAGTTTTTAAGCATATTTAAGATAAATGGATTTCAGGGCAGCTTGCTCATAAAATAGATCGACGTTCAATACCCCTAAGTTCCCTCCCCAGTCAGAGCATTGTGCTTCAAGCTGACTCCTGGAGGATTTGAATCTCCAAGTAACTACCTAGGAAAAACTTGCACAGAAATGAATAGAAAAGAAAGGTACAAAGAAAAGACAGCAATGAAGAAAATAGCAATATATTGGAAGAAAAGAGGGATCCATAGAAATTGCCTCTCAGCAGAAGAAACATCATTTTATCACCTTCCTAAAACATGATCATAGAAATGAGCTGGACCAGTGGAGAAGCCCAGCGTAGCTCATCCCCCAGTACTTTTCTAACAGCATTCAGTGTTGGCTCGTTTCTTGGGTGGAAATTCTCTTCTTCCCTGTATTTGCCATTCAAATGCATGTCAGCTCTCCCTGGCTCTTCCCTTCCTTCCCAATAATCAAAATGTGTTTCACTGATACCATGTAACACCTCTGGGTCTTCACTAGTTTCTATGGAATGCGACAGACCCGTCACCTCTATTCAATAATGTTCCCAATAAAAACAAGAAGCATTCTCTGGACATGATCAACTATTAAAACATAGCATTTTAATAAAGAAGTCTCTTTTCTTCTCATTCTCTTCAGGCCTGAACTCAGTGATCATAAAGAGCAACATTCAGTCTCAAGCTAGGGGTAAGGTTCCTGCAAAGTAGGTTAATTTTAGCTTTTAACTTGACTGTCTGCAATTATAAATAAGCACTGCATTAGCATCCCAGCCACTGCCTATTCCTAACCCCCCTCACATATGAAATCTCTATGCAGAAGAGTAGATCCATCACCACCCACCAGCTCTGCATCTCTCCCACTGGAAGACCATTTTACTCAAATGCATTCCTCCCTTGGGCTTCTTCCAGTCCCAAATTGGAAAGCAGTCTTTATATAGATTGTACCCACTCTGCTATACAGAACAAACATCTTGGAATGTATTTACCTGAAGTCTTCTGATGAACGTTCTCTTTCCAACTCAGGAAAGTGACTGAGGAGTAGAAAAAGGAAAAAAGAACATTTATTCCACTTTAGTAACAAAAAAAAAATAGGTAGAAGGCGAAGATCAATGAGTCATCCCACAAAAACATATGCTGGAACCATGGGTTCAGCTGTTCATACATTTGAATCAAATTTTCTGCCTTTGAGATATCTAATTTAGCTAACATGAAATTCAAAGGTTAACTTGAGATCTTAAGACTACCCATTTAACATGAAGCAAATACAAAGATGTAGATGACTCAAAGGGATCGTTTTGACAGAACAGAATAAAACCAGTAAGCAGGTATCCATCCCTCTTGTTCAAGGAATATTAAGCTCTATAACTACAACTACACTGCTCTAACAAAATTCTGGTTCTTCTCAAGTCACAGAAATATGACTGATAATTGCTACCCTTGGACTGCAACTTCTTCCCTCTTGAAAGGCCAGAGCTTATTTAGCACTTCTGGTTTTGTTTAAATCATGATCAGGTAAGTTAGGAAGCAAGTTTCTTTCCTTCATGTGAAGTACTCCCCAGGTTTGACTTTCATAATTTGTGCTGCAGGACAGGAAAATGAAAACTACTAATTAAGACAACAAAATATGCTAGAATAAAAACTGAAGAACAGAATGTTCTAATCCTTTTTCAATATAAAATTTTGTACCAGTAATATGCACACATTAAGCTACGGAGTTTTTTTAAAAGTCATACCTACCCATATGTCACTCCAGCAATACTACATTTCTTAAAGTTCATGATATTGCATGTTAGAGTACCTGTTTTATCAGAAAACAGGTATTTAACCTGGAAGGGAAAAAACAAGTCTGATTTTCAACTTGCATAGTAATAAAACTCAAAGCAGAAAACAGGAAGATACTCAGAGTCATATTGCTCAAAGGTCACAATATTGGCCAACGCAGGCTTATTACAGCTTGATTTGTCTACCAGATCTACAGAACAAAAATCAGGCAAATTATTTAATTGCATTAATTCTTCATGTCTAAATGTGGAAAGGCTCAAATAGTAAGTATCAACTACCAAGGCTCTAGTGTGATCATTACAGATGTACTTGGTTGCGCTACTTGGACATTCACCAAATCTTTCAACTGCACTAATCTCAAAGAGTGATTAGAAATTAAAACAAAGACTCCTGGGATTGTTGAAGGCTCACTAGAATTTTACACACTGAAGGCAGTCTGTGTTTCAAAGATCACCAGGAATGTTTGGGGATTTTTTTCCTTCTACCTATAAGCACAGAATATGCTAAAGTAAGTCCAACTGGTACTATGCAGGCAAACAAAAAATGTTTTATCTCATGTCCACTCATGAGCAGTCCTAAAGTACACAAAACACAGCAACAGTTAGCACTGCCCAAAGTAATAATCCCTTAATGGAAACAGTGATTTTAAGGTAAAACTTGGAGGCAACCCCATCAAAGCAACTTCTTGGAGCATTAGCAGATTCAAAATTCCCACCTTCAAAGGGCCATAACAGACCAAAACTAATTCAAGTTAATGATACCACAGTTGTACCTCTGCACCAGGTAAGACTTTCAACCAGGAAGGGATGATGATACATGAAAGAGTTAGACAACTCTAAGACAAAAATAATTTTACTATAGTTAGAAGAAGCTTTTCCTCAACAATTGCCATTCAGCTTAAGAGACTGCACTACACTACTTGATCCTTTAGTTGTGCACTGTACTGCTACTGAATACAGCATTGGAAATGGAGCCTTTGCAAGTCAGAAGTCAAAGTGGGTACCTACACTTCTGAGGAATTTTAAGTCATTAATAATTTCACCATAAAACAAAAATATCAAGGGCATCTGTGAACATGTAAAGAATCAAAAAATTCAGTCTAGTTACACAGAATCACTAGTAAGCCATTCCTGAAAATAACACGTGGGCCACCAACATATATTATGCCACACATCCTTTACTTCAGGCAAAAATAACACCATAATTTGGAAGTTGATAACTTCACATCAAAGTGATTTAAACAGAAATCAAATTTCAGCATTCATAAGAAAAATGACCAGATTAAGCAGGAACAATATTGACTACCCCCCTACAGAGCAGGATATTATTATCCTTCAATAAAATACGTATGTTTAAATACATAATGTTACCTCCAATACTAAAATCATGCCTATTATGAAATTCACGTAGTTCAGTTACAAACCTATTGCCATCTTATTGTGAAGCTCCCATACCTTCTCAGTGATTTCTCATGGGCAGCTCCTCACAGCACTGACTCCTCCTTCCTCACAGCACAGCCAACAGACTCCAGCCCTCTCCTCACCCAGCTAACCCACTCTTTTGTAGCACTTGTCTCCTTATTGGACACAGCTGTGGCTTATTAAGGGCAGGCTTGTTCTTAATCTTTGGTGATTAGAACAGCTGCAACTCCTCAAGTGTGAGACTACCTTCTGCACTATCTTCATTTGCTTACATTCTGTCCCTCCACACAGACATATAACCTTGGTGGTCAAGGAAAAAGCTACCATTTCTCAAGTGTATTACCAAATTCCAACAGCAGAGTTATATTATCCAGTAAGCTTGCTCTGGGAAACCCTTCTGGTTTGAAGAAATGTTATTTCCAGAATAAACAAAGCTGCTACAACAACTAGAAGTTAATATGCAGCTATCCTTATCTGAATGGAAAATAGAAATGCTTGAAGGATCACAATATCTAAATTAGGAATACAACTGCTTTTTTTTTCACTTGCATCTCCAGTGAAGTAGTCAGAAACATCAAAAACTAATAAGTCCAGCCCTGTATGTTCTGTTCTGGTATAGACAGTCAAAATCACAGAGTATCTCTCCAAGACCTTTGAGAATAAAGCTTAGAGTGCACATAAGAAATAGTTTCAATTCCCAAAAATAAAACTGTCTATATGACATTTAATCCTGTGATATCTCATTATTTCACTTGTAAGACTCAGACTAGAGAAAATAAAAATGTCCCATTAACTCGAGCCACAGAGCAAGAAAATAAAGCTGATTTGTACATCTTGTACAGTCTTGTACATGTTGCTCTTATACCTTTGCTCTTGAGAGAGTATATCACAATCATGACAATTCAGAAAATGTTATCTTACCTGCCCAAGTTCCTCATTAAGGTTTGAGGTTCTGGCCATTGCAGGTGTATCTGTTTCAGGGTAATACATATCTATGTCCTGAAATGAGAGCAAAATTAAGACTTATGTTATGCAAATTAAACACTAAAGTCTCTGTTCTTCTTTTAGTCAGCTCCAACTTGGCTTGACTGTCTTAATGCTATGAGCAGGCATTCTGAATGCTTGAGACAAACATCATCCCAGGATGAATATGGGTGCCTCCTTTCCAAAGTATACCTCCATCCTACAGGGACATGAGAAAAGACAGATTCAACTATAGGTAGCTAATAAACTAAAGGTGCAACAGAAACAACCCAAACTCAGTACAGTAGAAAGAAGTTCATGCAGTAGCCATGCTCATCATAAAGTGGTCAGTAACAATAATCAGTTGCTCTAGTCACATCTATGAGACAATTTTAGTGGATCCATGAAATAAACTTCTGTTACTACAAAGAAACAGCTGTTACACAAATCTAAGCAACTTCTCAGATATGCATCTCTACTACATTACAAGCAGCTCAAGGAACAGACATATTAAACTTTGCTTACACATGTTTTACAGTAACCTACTACATTACTCAAAGTCCAAGGATGAATGCATACCAACAAAAGGAATCTCTCTTGGTTTTGTCCAGCTTAAGAGCCACCACTAGAGTATTTCTGGCCCACAACTTGAGAAAGGCATTTTGAAGTCCAGGCTTCCCTGAACAGAGGGATCGCTGTTTGGTTGTGAGGCAACATCAACTTATCTCCTTACGAAAACATTGTGGTCCATTCCAGAGGTGACCTTAAGGCCAGCCTCAAGATGTAAAAACAAACACAAAAAAACCCAAAAAACCAACAAGCAACCCCCCCAAAAAACAACAAAAAAAATCCTCACACCGACAATCAAGTCTAGTCTTGCCCTCTGCTGTGTCTCAGAGAAGCTATAAGATACCGAAGAGTTTTCAAAAGATAATTGCTGAACGTGAGTTAACTGAGAGAGAGACCTCCTTCAACCAAGAGCTAAGGCTACCTTCTCATCCTAAAAGCCTAAAATACAAGTCATGATTTGCACAGGGCACCTTCCTGTAACTAGATCTTTTCATTTCCTGTGAAACACAGAACTGATATAGAATAAAACCTGAGTTTCCCCCTGCCTTTCCCAGAAGTTGCATCAGAAAGTAATTAGAAAATCTCACTAAGATGTTAAGTGGGTTTTTATTTTAAATGTCAACATCCAGAACTGAGATACATTCACTCTTGCTACTTACCCAATTTATAAAAAGAGCCTGAGTAAACTTGACAACTTCCAATGTCACCAGAAGGCTGATTGGAATAAGGTTGTTGTACAAGATTATAAACGTCAGCAGATTGTATCCAAAGTTGACAGACAGCATTTCTGTGGATCAAAAGACACAGGACAATAGCAGACAAGTCTGAGTGGTATAGGGGCTATCATCTTTATGCAGTTCACCTAATCAGATTCAACAAAGCCAAAATAATAAGCTACTGTGTTGATGTCTAGTGTAAGGGCCATTTTAATATTGATTTCAACAGAAGACAGATAAAACACCTACACCATACCAGGTGAAGAAGGACAAGGTTAGTGAGGCTATATGTAAAAGAACAGAACACTTTCTGAACAATTTTTGCTGGAGAGAGGGTGAAAAGTACAATATTCCCCCCACTATAACCAAAAATAGACATTTATCTAGTGTGTCAACTGCCCAATTAAGAGCCCCCAATGTCACTAGTAATAAAACCATCTTTCAGAGAGTGCCTACTTGCTTCAGTGGAGTTAGGAAACAAAAAATAAACACTGAAATTAGTTCTAAAATCTGACATAATGGTCAGAATTGAGAATTTACCCTTACAAAAGAAATCAACAAGAACAAGTTGACTGTTAAACACTTGTCTAGTATATGAACTAAGGCACCCTGTTTAATCAAAGAAGCTGTTACTAAGGGTGACAACACTGGGAAACTTGCCCAAATAATTCTACTGTCACAACTGGTCCTAAAGGGAAGGGGAAACATTTATAGACAGCCAGCAGGAAGGTACAAGTCTCAGCAGAGACACAGGATGAAGGCTCCTGGTCACAGTGCTGCCCACAGCCTCTCTTTACAATCAAAGTCTCCACATTTGTATGCTCTCCACTTCCCTAGAAACTCAGAGAGGCACTTCAGTCAGTACACAGAACATCCAGCACAACAGGGTCAGAGTCCACAACTAAGGGTTTTCAGCATCATAAGTTAATTAGAAGTCAGGGGAGCAAACTAGGAGGAGACAGAATCCAGAGAAAATCACTGAAGCCTAATAAAGATCAGAGTTTGGACAAAGGCACCTCAAAGTGTGAGTACACAATAATTCCATAACTTCAATAAGTTTACAGAAAACAGAAGCATGCTTGGTATTGGAACATTTTCCAATACAATTTTTACAGAGATGAGACACGTAACCAAAATTTAGCATCTACCTGCCAAACCTGAAAAAGGGTCTTTTCTGTGTGTGGCAGTTACAGAAGGCATAGAAATTGCACATTCAAATTACAAAAAGGCATCTATACAGACTATCATGTCATCTTAGTCTAATGCAAGTAGAACCTGTTTTGTACTGCAAGTTCAAGACTTCATTCCATTCATCTTTTCCAGTACTACTTCTGTCATTGGAAGGCACAAATCTAAACTTACTCATTAAAAAACAAGGGGAGAGCAGGCAAGAAGTTCTGAAAAGTGCTGACACTGCTACAAGAAGACATTACTACTAACAAAACCCAGAGTCAAAATATGGGGCATTTCCATGCTATTCCTATGGGGTTTTTTTCATTACTACCGTAACTACAATTCTTAAACTGCAGAACATACACTTGCCATCTGTTTTGCATCATTAGCAGACAAGGCATTTGCAGTTTCTGATAACTGCTTTAAGATCTGCATCTCAAAATGCTTTTAACACCACATTTTACAGCTAATGTAACCTCCTTAAAAGTCTGCTGGGGAGTACTTCATTGCTCATGACCATCTTTGATAATGAGCTAATAAATTTGAGGACTAAGAAAAATCAAATAAAACCCTTCATATAATGATGCTAAAAGATCAGTTTTCTCACAACAAGTTAACAGAAGCTAAAGACAGAAACTTTACCCAATAAATAAGAATTTGTGACATCCACCATTTCAATTTTCTCTAAAAGAGCAGATCAGCATTTCTAACTCAAAGAAACAAAGAGAAATCCTTTGCATCTGTATATAAGCATAAAGCTGAAGTAGGCATCAGACTGATACTCCCCATCCTGTAGTCAAATACTGTCAAACACACACAAGGCTGCAGTACATGAGAAAAAAATACGTGTATGGTATCTCTACAGAGATGGAAGAAGTGAACACCAGTATCCAAGAGTAACTCTTGCCCCTCTTGTTTCTACCCTGCTCCCTGGGTGCCAGCCCAGTGATATTTACCTAACCTTTAGAGGCGCCACTGGGAAGCTCACTTATGTCAGCCTATTCTCAAAAACAATATATTAGGTCATGAAAAAACTAGAAAGATACAGGGGGTTTTGGGCTTTTTTTGTGGTTTTTAAATTTATTTCTTATTTTATGCATTAATTCAGTGAAGGTAAGTGCCTGGCTGCCCCTGCAGTCTGAAACATCACTGGCCCAGTGCCTGCATACTCACCGTTGGAGCCAAGGTACCAGACAACTTCGCCGTGTGTTCTGTTCCATAATAAGGCACCTACAGAACTCACAAGGGCCATTACCAGAAGAATACAGAACAAAACCAGGATCTGCATGTTGGTCACTTTCTCCACATTTGATCTCTTCAGAGGTGCTTTGGTTGAATTCTAAACAGCGGCAGGGGGAAAAAAAAAAAAAGAGAAAGAACCTGGCAATGGCTTTTACAAGAGAAAAATCCAGAAGCAAACCCAGTCTTTACTTTCAGAGTCCTTTAGAGCACCTGCTGTCCATCCCATTGATGCTTAGCAGCAGTGATCAACATACACATGTTGCCTGTCTCACCAGGCACTCCCTGACATTAAGGAAATACAGGACTGCTGTCTTAGTAATAATCATGAAGATAATTACGTTATGTCCTCAGCTGTTAAGCATCAGTTTTAAATGCCATCCAGCTACCAGATAAGTTAAGATGAAAGTTAGCTCTATTAATATATTGAACTGCTTTCACTTCATTGTGAAACATGCAAATTGGAGCACAATGGACCTTTCTATTCCTCAAGACCTCCAAGTCTTAACTATAATGAGTCAAACTATTTCATCAAATCAAGTCAATGACAATGAGAATACAGGAAATAAGACCAACTTCTATCAAAACATACCCTTAATCCCCTTAAAACCTTTACCTGCATGAGTTTTGTATCATGTCCTGTATACACAACAATACCCAAGACCCACTGAGTGTTTCTCAGTTGTGCACCTCTCAGCAAGATCTGGTCTGGACCAACAGGAACTGGGCTGCAAAATAAGAAGTTCATGAATCTTCCAGTTCTTGGTAACACTTTAAAGAAGATAGCTCTACTCCTAGCCTTGCTCCCCAGTTAATAATACAAACAACCCCAAACAACAACAGGAGAAGAAGGTAATAGCAATATAACGAGCTTAGACTGTTCACACAACTAAGAAAGCACTGAAACCTCTGTAAGTCTAATTCCTGCTAAAGCACAGTAGGGCAGAGCTGCTCCAGTTATCCAGAACTTGAGAAATTATGTGGCAGCAATAAATAAGCTTATTCTGCACTTGACCTTGGCTAGTACATTCTCTCTCATATCAAGGGCAGAGAAGCATTGAACTTGCAAAGAGACCATCCATTTCAAGCACACTATATCAAATACACAATTAAACAAGCATTTGAGAAAGCCTGTATCAACCATGTGACTTCCAAGTGGGATGCAAGTGATCATCTGCTATTCTAGGACTGAGCTGCCCAAGGAATATACATTTGGTAAAGGAAAACAGGTACAGCCAAATATAACATGTATGTTCCTACCAACCTGTCACAATCTGTGAATTTGAGTACTAAAACGACATACTTTTCTTTTAAGAGTTCTAGAAATCAAAGTCACAATGCCTGAGCCTCCAGGTTCTGGGATCACTTTTCTCTACAAACTTCACCTTGGTGCAGCCTTTGGCTCTTGTTCAAAGGGAAAGGTCCCTATTTCTTCTGTGTATCTTGTGTAATAAGAAGGCCCTAAAAACCCCAACCATCTCCTTGAATTCTTCTCTTTAGATGTACCTTTTAATAAAATATCACCATTAATTACAAAGAAATCAATACTCCCATAACGAGCAGAAGTACCCATGCAAAGACAGAACTGTGTTCTCTTATACCAGCAGATGCTCTGATTAATAAATATTAATTATTACCCTCCTCTTGTCCAGCAAAAACATGCATGTGCTCAGAGTTCCAGACTAAAAGAACGGAGGAAACATTTTTCCTAACCAAATGAATTCACGGCTTTGTTGTCAATACCTTTGACCATCTAAGCGCAAGTTTCCAGTGAAGTCATAGAGATGGCGGTTGGGTCCTTCACATTCTATCCTCCCAGACACTTTCATCAATTCTTCCCTGGACTGGAGACTAGCAGTTTGAGACAAACCCTGCACAGAACAATTTAAAGGAGATTTTCGACAAAAACTGCTATTAGAAGGCAATCTACGAAAATGGTGCTTCCTTTTAACATCTATGAACCAAAATACAACTAAATCTGTGGAGGTTTGTTACTCAGGATCCTGTTTTGCTTTGGTGGGGTTTTTTTTGGAGGGCTGGTTTTCATTATGTTTTGGGGTTTTATTTTTTTGTTTGATATTCAATACCTATTTCCTGCAAGGAAAACTCATTATGGACACATAGAAAACTACAACCAAGACTGAAACTCTCTACACAGATCTTCATATTACCTACATGGCCCCTCTTTAACCAAGAGGAAAGTAAAATCCACAAAACACAAAGTTTGATACGTGCAGGAGGAAGTAGGAGAAAAGCAGCATAAACAGACTTGGCTTTTTGCTCAAAGTAAAGCTGCCCTGATGTGTTATGGCAGCTAAATACAGTTGTTCTTAAGTGTAGTCTTTCTTGGGTTACTGCAGCCAATATGCTCTGATCCTCCTCAAGGTCAATGATCAGCCTGTCACACAACTGCAACAACATATTGGTACTCTACATCTGAGCACATGCACAGCATCCCACTGCCTTTCTATTAAAAGAGGAATCCATGTCGTGTTTCTTTTGGCAGAATTTGACTGCAGCACTGCAAGATGGAGCAAGGCCATATTTTTGTATTTGAAGCATGTCCTGAAGCAAATAAAATCCTACCAGAGCTCAAGACCAGACTTAGTAACCTGATCTGGAACATTAAGTCACATTTCTACAAATGTAGCAAAGAAGCAGCAAGTGTAGTTTTTTAAAATAAATTATCTGTGTTACAAAATCCTAATCTAAATACTTTTTTTAATGAAAGAAGCCAAAGATTCTTAACTATTTCTAAACACTATAAGCAACACTACTTCTGTAACAAAACTAGAAAGATCCAAATAAATTCTTCTGCTTATCACAAAGATATCAATTTATAAAGATCCTTTTCAGCTTCTGCCTCTGCATAATGTTCATAAAATAGTATTTGTGACAGGAGACACTGCAACTCTCATCACAAGCATAGCTGATCTTTTTATGTACAGCACTTAAATTCCACCAACTAGACCTTCAGCAAAACACATCCAAGGTCTGATTTGTCTCTCTGGGCTTAACATACTTGCTCCAGGTTAGTTCCTTACACTTCCACATGATGCATTACTGCTTGGGTTTGTATCTGTTGAAAAGGCAAATTACAGCCACTTGAAGGAACATGCTTTTTAAAAAAACAACAAAAAAAAGCACTTGTATTGTGGTCATGCAAGCTAGATGCTGGTTCATAACTAATATTAAATAGCTCAAAGAAAAAAACAATAAATTTGGTTTGTTTTACCTGTCGTATTTTAAGATTCGTCTCCCCATCGAGATTAGCTGTTTCAATATAGCACATGGCTTGTGGTTCACTGTAAGGAGTGTAAGATTTTCAATATTAAAACTCAGAACTTTTTTGTACACCACTTTTGCACTAATACAGTCCACTATAGACTTCTTCAATGCACTGCAGAAGACAGAAAACTATACTGGCAGTGTACACCATGAAAGTTAAAGGTACATATTAAACAGATGTCTTTGGATATGGTCATACAACAAACTACAGAGAAAGACAAGTCTAAATCAAAAATCAGTAAGAATTGAACAAGTCATTATAAACTTAGATGCTTAAAGTGGATTACTCTGAATTGCAATCCATTAAATTGCTTCCAATTTTAAGAGCTACAGATGAAAGAGCAAGTATTGAACAGTATAAAAAGGGGATATGTTTGGATGAAGACAGCAATGCTCTCTGCTATTGAATTCTGTCTGTGAACTGAACACACAAAATCACCTTTGCAAGGTCCCCTTAATAAGGGAAGTACACCCAAAGTCACTGCTAAACACCTTTTTCAAGCATGAGAAAAAGGTTTGTTAGGATTGAAGGCTGTAACCTGCATCTTCCAGATGTGTTTCTGCCCTTACCAATAGGGACAAAAATCTTCCTCCTAGAACTGAACTTCCTATTAGTCAAGCTCTCACCTATATGTAACAGAGGAGCTTAGCATAGGTGTGATAAGGAAGAGTACTTTTACTAGATCTTTTCCTGACATGCCACTCAAGATTCAAAACCTCTGTGTAGGTTTTGAATAATTGTTTTGGTGACCAAAACAATTTTTCTGCCCACTGTCTTCTCAGGCTGCTAAGGAATATCAGTTTCCCGCCTGGACTCAAGCAAGTGCTTCTTCAGCATATCACTTCTCATACTCTTGATAAATGACTATTTTTTTTTCCAAAGTAACAAACTGTTCTAACAGCAAATGTACTTAATCAACAGAACAGTCAGGAACAAGGGCTCCTTAGAAAAACAATAATTAAGAAATGGACAGGTACATTTATAACACAGTAAGAAGCCAGATTATTCTCTCCAATAATTTTGCTTTGAAAAGAAAAAATGGTTGAGTCTATTCTTTGTCCCCTCCTACACAGTAAATTTGAATATGAACCCAAGAAAGACACTGATGAAAGTCCAGATTGATTCCAATTTTACCTCTGTCATACACCTTACCTACTATAACTGAAGTGGTTAGCTCAGGAAGGAGACCTTTTGCAACACAATTCCTCTAATTTCCACAGAAATGGCATGAACTGTGGAAATGAGAAATGTGGACGTGTTTCCATGCAAAGTTGTGTTAGAATTAAAATATTTTTCCTTCATGTTAATTCATTCTTTATGTAAAATTTGATGTCACCTTTTTGCTGTACAGGAAAAGAGAGCCAAGATAAAAACAACTGTCGATTTACCTCTGACAATCACCTCAGACACAGAAAAATCAACATATACAAGCAAAAGAATTCACCCCCTTCAGAACATGCAGAGCTTTCTGGTGAACTGAGGACACTTAGTATTGACATTTAAAGGAATCATGGGAATAATACCAATTATAAAGCAGAACTGCTATAGAAATTGCTATTTATTTCAAGTAAAGTTTCTCCCAAATCAACATGCTTTGGGTTAAATTTTCTATTTATTATGTGGTTATCAAAGACAGCAGGTTAGTAGAATAATGCAGAACAAAAAGCTGGCTCACACAGTTAAGAAATAAGTCAAAAGGGGTTTTTAGTATAATACATTAGAGAAGTTCTTAAGTAAAAAATTCTTCAATGCTGAAACAAAATTATTGATGTCCAAGTTCAGCCTAACTGCATATTAAGTTGACAACCACTTATTTAAGATCTGAGGCTTGTTTTGAAAAATACAATACTGTATACCATGGAATGGAGGTACCTCTATCCTTCATCATGCAGTAATTCAAAAAGACTGAGCTTCAGCATAGAGCTTAGAAAAAATAGAAACCTCTCAGAAACAGCACAGACAAGAAGGATGGAGCAGAAAATACAGGAGCTTGAAAAAACCAAGTTCCCTTAAAAGCTGGATCACGTAAGAGAACTGAATCCCTGAGACCAGAGGAATCTGCAGTCACCACTGAAAAGCACACACACAGGAGAGAATTATGGAGGTGTTGTAAGGTCTGGCTATTACAAGCATATTTATGAACAGACAGGAGTTGTGCTGTTGTCTCTTGTTAACACCTCATCTGTCTAAGCAAACTGTGGTTTTGATTCAGCCTCAAGTTGCTCTACAGATCCAGAACCCAGACTAGCAGTCAAGTACCACTCAAATGCTTTTAGGAACTATGAGACCTCAATAAACAAGAGGGCTGGGCAACTACCAAGCATATGAAGTTTAACAAAGGCAAGTGCTGGATTCTCTGCCTGGGACAGGACAACCCTGGATGCGTGTACAGACTGGAAATGGGATGAGGGAGAGTAGTCTCACGGAAAGGGACCTGAGGGTCCTGGTCAATGGCAAGTTCAACATGAGTCCACAGTGCCCTGGCAGCCAGGAGGGCAAAATGCGTCCTGGGGGAATTTGTCCCATACTTGAAACTAAACCAAGAAGGACTCAACAGGTTACTGTCCCTCCCATGCTAGAGATGGGCCATACAAGTGCTGTATCCAAGAGAAGTAGTGAACAAATGAAGTTCAAAGGCTATTTTATTGTTTAATGCCAACAGAACTCGCCTTTAGGATATACTATTTGAAAGAGAAATCTTCCTGGGGGAGCACAGGAAAATATGCTGAATACTCAGGGGAATTAACTGGAAGAAAACCTAAGCCTCCTTATTTAAGTGGAGGGATTCTCAGAAGGCCATAGAACCAGTCAATGCAAAAAGCTCATGTTAAGAACCTTCAGTCTTCCAACAAACTCATCAATACAGAGTATTATGTACCTGCAATTCATAAAGTGAAGCCTTGAAACACCTTATTTTAGAAGAGCCTATCTACAATGATACATGAATCAAACCCTAGTAAAGCCATATTTTATCACGGAATTTTGTTGAAATTTGATTTTAGATGTGGAATAGAATTAGTGCTATCTGATGTCTGGTTTTATTAATAGCAAATACAGAGATTCAAGTCCTCTGCACCTCAGTTCATCAGACACATCACTTCCACACCCATTCAGGATACCTGGTAGATATTATGATCATGTCTGCTGGAAGATGCTGCCCATTGGTGACCTTCACAATATCGCCTACTGCTACCTGTGGTGGCCAGGAGTACAGTAGCATGGAAGAGAAAAACAAACAGTTCGCTTGTCTGGAATGTTAGTTTGTTATTTTCTTTCACACAGTCAGAAAAGCAGCATCATGCACAGAACAGCTCGAGATAGTTTCTCTGAAGGTCAGAGTACTTTTCACTGCAAGTTTGGAAATATCAAAGCCTTCCCTTTTCTGAATGCAAAGTATAAAATTCTATAGAGAAAAAAGGTACACTCAGATAGATTAGATACACTCAATTAGAAATTGTGAACTTCTATGGCTTATATTTAATAAAAATTATTTTTTTTTCTATAATTCTGCCATTATCCAAATTCAGGGGTTTTCTTTAGTCATATTTTTTCCCCTAGTAAGAATATTTAAACTTTACCTTCATCTTTAAACTTCCCCTTCATTAAGTATCAAGAGTTTTCTTCCATTCCTTACCTGGATTACTTGCCTACCCAATCATCACTATAATTTTCCCTCAATTCTCCTCAGATGCACTGCTTGTACTAATCACTAGCACATAGTATCTCTATGAATCTTGTCCTTCCTTGACTGAGATATGCAGAGTTCTGAATTCTGGAATACTGTGTCTCCTCCTACACAGGCCTAAGACTTTCCAGCACCTTGAGTTAGTCACATATGCATGGGACTTTCATTCTCAAAAGAGTCAAGTAGCACTCTCAAAACAGTAAACCAGGTTTGCCCAAGAAAGATGAAGTTGCTTAATGCCAATGCAGCACTGAGAGTCTGAAATGGGCTTAAAATACTTTCAAGATATTAATTTATAAAAATGGAAACAGATGGTATGTTTGAACAAGCAGATTCATTAGTTTTCTCAGATACCACTAAAAATAAATTCCCTACCACTTTCAGCACAAAAAAAAAAGGAAAAAGTCAGAAGTCTGCCTTAAAGTGATCAAGGAGGATAATACAGAACTGTTATTCCTTAACCATAAATGCAAACCTGGACAACATGCAGTTACAGACACAAGTCAACTCAAGAAATGCCTAAGGGTATAAAAAACCCAGATTCCAGGCTTGACCTTAAACTTTCAATTCACTGTCCTTTGTACAAAAATAGGACTTGGAACAGCATAAACAGGAACCACATTAGCCATCTGAATCCCTGGCAATCTTGAGCTTCTACTGTAGCCTAACACTTCAGCAGGATAGCTTTTAGGTGTCTTGAGACTGATCTCATTCCTCAGAGGTTTTAAAAGGCTGTACTTTTTCCTCAATTACTAGATAAGAGGGCTAATTTTATCCTTTAAAAGGCAGTAAGAGCCACAACTAGATCAATACATCCTAAGGCATTTCAGCAACTTCCAGGTCTTAGAAATAAAGCTCACCAGACCCTGGCCAAGGGCCTCATAGAACATGGGTCCCAAGTGCCTCAGGTAGCAGCAGAGCTGGTGTTTCTTACTTGAGCAAGCAGCTTACTAATTAGTCTCAAAGCCCAGGGACTTTTTAGCACAGGCAGCAAAGGGAGTCTCTATTAGAGTTGCAGGGGAGGTACAGCATTGCAGTGAAAATTACTCTTCTAGGCAGACTCAAACCAAAATACTGTTTACAGTTTACCTATTAACTGCACAAGGAAAAACACAACAGTCCGTTAGCATTTGACTGTAACACAGTACCAGGATTTAAAAATGGGTAGTCAGGTGCCTTGCTCAGGGCAATTTTGACTACTGGAACAAAAAGGATCCCTCCCATCCCCCCCCCACCCCAAGTGACAGAGAATTCTCATGTAGAGTACATTAATTCTAAGCCTCCTAATGAATTCTGGCAAGAGTAATTCTTGAACTCTTGTTTTCCCTCCCTCCCATCCTTAGGTTTTATTTACCTCTTTCCACATAATGTTCTGCCACATCCCATTTCTTAGAACTGGAAAGAAAGCTTAAAGTTAGATTACAGAAAAAATAGCCATAATTCAGACAAATTTCAAAACAACTGTATCAGCAGTAGCAAACACAATAGGAACCAACACAAAAATCAGAAATGTATTTTTCAGAAGCTGGAACTTCTTTTGTGCACAGCTGTGGGCATGTGAATCCAAGAAAGAGGAAGAATCTGCCCTTCATATTTTTACAATTTTTATCTCCTGCCAGACAACAACAGTTGGTGGCCTGATTTCTTCATGGCATCACTTCATACTAACATGCAGATGGGCAGCATTGTTTCTTGTTTGGGAAATTACCTTGCTTAAAACAAAAGAAATCACTGCCCACTGTCAAGCAGTATTAAGAAGCACCTTTACTCTGTGTACGATTTACCACAGAATTTTCACTTCTTATCTTTTTCCTTGCATTTTATTAAGAATGTTTTGACTCTGGCACATCCAACTTTACTACCATTACCCATGGCCCATATAAATCTGAGTCTTAACTGCCAAGCAGGCTCCAAGCCCTACTGAAAAGCAACAATCAGCTTTGGCAGACAGGGAATCCTTACTTCTGAAGTTCACATTGAAACAAGATAAAGAAAACAAGGTACTAAAACAGACCTCAGTTTCTGTAGGGCTCCAATTCTACACTGCCATCTTAACACACACATTAGTCATTTACCCTGCAGCACGCCTTTCCATCTAAGCACCTCCTCTAGGTGATTCTACACATACCTAAGACTACTCCAGTCAAAACAGTAAGGTCAAATATGCCCAGTTGCTTCCGAATAACCCAGTTCAGTCCAGGTCCAAGCACAGCAAGTTCACCTTGACTGAAAGCAGCTGTAGCCAGTTTTCAAAGGTGTTTAAAAAGTGCAGTGTGCAACATATCAGAGTTAAGAGGTCAGTCCCCTACTTTTGAATATGAACAATCTTCTCAGCTCTACGCATTTCATACATGTGGCTCATCTGAAAATAATACCACACTCTCAGAAAAAAATTCTGCTGAGTACAGCCTTGACCATCCTACCGAGGATATGCCACTCCACAAACAGGAATGCAAGACTTGTCAGAATAGATGAAGCAGAAGAAGTCTCTTGACTCCCGTTCTCAGGCCACACACACTGAAGCACTGAACCCTGATATTTACTATTGCAGTGAATGGACTGCAATGAACTAAACTATTTAACAAAAAAAATGGGTGGGCAGCAACAGAAGTAGTGCCAGTGATGTGTCAAAAAAAGCTGAGCTTTCAACCAAACAAGTACAGTTTGGTTGAATAACAGCAGTTTAGGGGAATAACAGTTTTGGTGCACCCCTTCCATCCCTCATATACACTGCTGTTGAACTAAGCTCTGCTTAGTTCAGAACTCAGAAGCTTGAATGCAGAATCTCAAGGGGAAAGTCAAATACTTGCAGCCTTGACTCAAAACTCAAACCTTCAGAGAGGAGTTGCAACACTCAGCATCTCCTGTGCCATAGTTCAGACAGCTCCCTACTCCACCAGAAAGTTTTGGAGACATTTCAGTAAACATTTTGTTGACATTGCTGTATGCTCACACACAAAGGTATTTTGCAGCATCAAGTGCTACAGACCTGATCTGGAAGGCAATTTACTTCAGAGAACATTTCACTTGCAATGCTTACTGAAATCAATTTAGTGATTAAAATTAAATACCCAAGCAAATTACTGAAACTATTTTCTATTACTGAACTATTTCCTTTTAAACTCCTAATCCCACAGTCTAAAGAGAAAGCTGCCATTAGACATAAAACAGTTTAGAAATTCTGGGGTTGCAATTTCACACCTCCTACTCTGCTCAACCCAGTTTTATAGGAGTACTCCAAAGGACAGAAAAGGACATGTCTTCTCTAAAATATTTATAGTAGGATAAAATTGATGAATTATTCGTTGTCAAAAGGTACTTGGTTAAAGCAACAAAGGACAAGTACCTAAAAAGACTGTTTCAACTTAAAAAGAGTTTCAATATAAACCTTCTATCTAGGGCTTTCCAAGACCAAAACCCAGTTCTAGATCTAGGACTTAATGCTGACACTCACATCCAGCCATGCAGGGCCATTTGAAGTGAGGCTGCTGAAGGGGAAGCATCTTCCATCAGTCTTGTTCCAGAGTTTGCTAACCCTGTGGTTTTCTAATATTTGAGTTCATCCCATGCAATATTAAATGCTCATTACTTATTCTATTATTTGAAAATGGGAGGATCAATACATCAGAAAAATTATTACTGAGCTCTCTGTATCTATGCAATAGACTGCTAAGGGGCTTCACTTGGAATTATATGGAGTCTGGTCTCTAGATTTAATGTCATCACCACAGACATCATGTGAAGCCATCCAAGACAAAAAACACTGGCTCAGAGCCTAAACACACTCCACCTCCTAATGCAAATGTTCAGTGCTCACCTGGGGCACAACTTCAATTTTAGTTTGTTCCAAAGGGAATTTAATTCCTACATCCCAAAGCCACTCTGCAAAGCAAACTGATGTTTTCTATGGTAAATTTAAAACAGGAAAAGCACTTTGAAGATACACAACTGCTCTAAAAACCTAAACAAGATAAATGCAAAGCCTACATGACTGCTGCTGCAGTAAGCAACCAGCCATTGCAGGCAGTGGAGTTCAGGACACAGCCAAGCAGACAGCAGGCATCTGCTTCTCAGTGAGCTCAAATACTCTCCACACTGAATGCATTGATTAGACACCACTCAGCTACAAGAGCAACCTAAAGCCACACAGAGAACCTAAATTTATTTCATCTTAATCCCACTCTGAACCCAAGTTATCTTTTCACTCTGGTAATACGTGTCTCAAGAATAAGGCTCTTTAGCCTTCCTCTTAAGAAGTAGGAGGATACAGTTTTAAGTACCAGACTGAAAATTTATTTAGAGTATTCAAAGGTAAAAAATAAAATCTGAACTCAATTTTTGAAGTGCTAAGTTCCACTTAGCTCCATTAGAACACGTTGTGTTCGTTAAGGATGTCTCTCCACAATTACTGTGACAAATGTCCCTTGAAGTGTTTGTTGGCACACATTCTCTACCTACAAATGAATTCTAACTGCCTCTACGACCTCTGAAAGGACCATGTTTCATATTACCCATAACAAGGCCTGTTGTGCTACAGCCACTTAATTGCCAATTGCTTATGACTAATACAGTGTTCTTGCACTCAAAATATCTTCTCAGATCTTGTACAAACATTACCTAGGAGAACTGATAAAGCAATTTCTTTTGATGTGTATTAATAAACAATCTTAATGATCAACCCAAATTTTCAAGCCCAAAATTCAGTGGAAAAAACAGGCATAATGTTTGCAGGACTATCTGAAGCATGGAGCTAGCAGGTTGCTCACTTCCCCATGCTCCTTTAAGTGTTCCTCTAGCTTTTTGACACTTCAGGTACTTGTGCTTGGGAGGAAGGGGCTCTTCTTGGAGCTCAAGTCCCTGTGTTCCCATTTCACCTGCACATTTGCACAGAGAAGGAGAAGTGGAGCTGTCCAACATGGGAACGTGGAGTTGCCTCGACCACAGCACAGGACAATCACAGGGTGGCCTTTGACAAGTTCTTCCTATTTTCTGCACAGGTTTTCAGTTAAGGGAGAGGAAGAAATGACAGTGATGTCTTCAGGCATACAGTGACAAGTACTGTCCATACCTCAGGGATACATGTAGGCATTCAGTGGATATCAGTGTTAAATTCTCTTTTGGTGACACTTCAGGAAAGCAAAACTAAAAAATCCCCAGACTTACTATATTTAAAGGGCAGCAGCATTTCCAAAAATGACTTTAAATTTTTCTGACAGCAGCTTTTAACATTTCAGGGGGTTGTTGGCTTTTTTAGTTCGGGATGTTTTGGTGTCAAAATCATCAGGATGGAGTTGGGTAAGGAAAAAAATTGCTCAGTTTTATTGGAGGAGCTGAGAACTATGTAACTTTGGACAACCTTGAAATTACATGAACTTATAAATTCCAGTAATCCTCCCAATGCCTCACCCTTAAGTGTCAGGCCATCAATCATCAGTCTGAAATCTTTAGCCAAGTAAAATCCTAAATTAGTGGTAAGTACCTAGTGCACAAGATATGCATTCCTCACCACCATGACCATTAAAGCAACAGAATTGCTCAAACGTAAGCATTCACTATTTGCATTTTAAATACTTCAAGACTGTTTAGTCTTACCTACTGTTTTCTTTTTATTCACTGCACTGTCTGCCTTATGCCTTTTCTGTAAGGAAACAACACATTTCATTACACCTCATTACACTTCATCACAAATTTGAGAACGATTAGAGCTAAAAATACAACAAATTGCAAGATGATACATTGGGTTCTTTTTGCCTTTACAGGGTTTTTTTTCTGTTTTTTTAAAAAGTCACAGATCATCTAAATTCAAATGGTTTGTAAAAAAGTATAAAGAGTATAATTATAAACTTCAAAGTGAAAGTCACCGTGTTGGAAGTCAGGCTGAAACCTTTATCAGTGGTAAAAAAAAAAGTCTCCAAAGGTGGGTTTTTTTGAAGAAGAACAAAAGGAACAATAAGGATCACGATATTTAGATAAATATCCATGTGCATAAATTCCACATGCTGTTGTTTAGACTGATATCCAAATCAGTCAAGTACTCATCAGTACTTTGCAAAGCCGAAAGATCTTGTTCTGATGTAAAGTATACAAGCAAGTTAGAGCAGATTTTCCCCAAAACAGTATTCCCTGTTCTTAAGCTGCTTACCTCCCCCCAAGTCCCATTTTCAAGACCATCTGAAAAGGTCACATATTTGTCAGGATTCTACACTGTCTTTCTAATAAAAGCATTAATAAGCTAGCTTGAAGAGGGAGAAACAAACGTCCTAATTTCTGTTTTCTTGTTCACCAACTATAATGAAAATACTTATTGATTTCAGCGTATTTTCAGTATTTATCAAAAAATTCAAGTCAAGCACTTTGAAAGTCAAAACAATATTTTGCTGCTGTTGAGCAATGACTCAAGAGACTTCGGAGATGCATGGCTTTGTGGCATTTTATAGCTTTTGAGACATTTGGTTTTTAGCACAGCCTTCCCAATCATACTCATCCCCATCCTCATCAATCATACTCACGTAGTCTTCTATGATTTCTTTGATGCCAGCAACTGTTAAAATAAATAGCAATGGCACCAAGGTGGTATATCTTCCTGTTGGAGAGACATCTGGAATTTGCTGTGAACAGAGGGAAAAGAGACCCTATATAAGAGACCCCTTTTGTATTTGTATTTAAAATTAATTTCTGATACATTTAGAATTTTATGCAAAGCTCTCAGAAGACAGAACACAAAGCTCTCTGATTTACTGTGTGATCTGTGCCTCACAGATATCCCATTTCCGTGGGCAAACTAGCCTACAGTCAAGTAGGTCTGAAGAAACAGTAACAGAATTGGAAGATACTGGTTTGGTACACACCTTTCATTGTATTTCTCTTCTCTTTATAAGAAAATTATACTGTTTCACATGGAAGCAGTGATAATCTGAACTAACTAAGCAGAAGTTCCACAAAAAAGTCATATGTTCTTTTCTCACAATGGTCAATAGCTCCATGTTTTATGACACCATTTATTTTTACTTACTAAGAATAAAAAAGGTTCGACTTTACAAACTACATGGAAAGAAGTCTCCAAGCTGTCTTCCAATTTCAATTAGCAACTACATATCCCATTAATATTACTATTAAAGTAAATTTAAGAATTGCTTTGCAGTTAAGCATAACAACAGAAATAACTTTTATTACATTACCATTTCATTTTATACAAAAGGGGAAGTAATAAAACAATACCTGCAGTAAGGCAATGAAGAGGAAGAATGCATTTGCAGCTTTTCTTATCTGCTCATACAGGAATCGAGGTAGAAATGTCACCACGCTGTACTTGGCTGTGCTGCAGGGTAGAAGATTTTCATCTTAGTACTTCATCAGAATATCAGGTGGGGATCATGACCAAAAAAGCCCAAAAGCCAGTGCTAGAAAGCAGTTCAAAGATAACAAAGTAAAGACATATTTAGAATATGGAGGAAGTAGTTGCTTTGGTTATGATAAGGAGCTATACCAAACAAAAAAGGTATCACACAGACCCAGAAGGCTTGTCAGGCCCACTTCTATCACTGGTACCTTTGTTATTGGATGAACTATCAGACAATTTAACACCATCCAAACTTCATCACTGTGAACAGACAAGCTTTCATTTCAGTTCCAAGCGCTTATCTCAATTTAAATGTTGGGGGAGGCAGAGATGAATGAGAGAAATTAGAAATTTTCCAAGGCATTTTTAAAATGTCTCATTTCCTACCTCAGAATAACTTACACTCAGCTATGAATAATACTCCAGAACAATATACACTTTTTCAGGTTAATGGCTCTTAGCATTTTTCCTATTATATGTATACATCTAAATACTGTAACTAACATATATATGTAACTGAATTATAACTACTTTTCTTCCTCCTTAAAACAAAAACATACTGGACTAGCAAGCCTTAATCACCTATGTAATTTCTTGTCATCTTCACATCTGTAGTAGATAGGGACAGGCGATCGGAAGATCACGCGATGTGACGGAAAGCGGCAGGATTCCTTTTCCCCTAGTCCCCTGAGATAAGAGATCACTCTAGCAATGTAACTAGGAATGTAGCCCCCCTAACGATAGTAGTGCTAGTAACTTTCCACTCCTTACTAACCACAGATAGTACTGCAGACCCCCTCTGACGTAGAGAAGCCCCTTAAACTATAAAACCCCACGAGAGGAGACAAAAGCCTTTGACTGTCTACCACGTTGGTATCTGCGTGCTCTCTGGCCCGAGCGACCCTGAAGAGTTTGGGTCGCCGTGCTGCTCCTCGAAACCAGGTCGCCTTACCTTATATCAGAAAGCAACAAACATCAAATCCATAATGTGCATGAGTACAACTGCCGGAAAAAAGTGTCAAAGTTGACACAATAATTTCACCATTAGAACCTTCACCTTCTGAACTACTGGCCATCAGCATGAGCTGGAGTTTTGACAATTGAGCACCTGCAACTCAGTATGCCTTTCAAAGGCACAACAAGCAAAACCAGACATTTTGAGACATCATTTTATTTGGGTGCTGTGGTTTGGGTTTCATTTTGAGTGTTTTTTTGTTTATGCTTTGTTCCAGTTTGGGTTGTTTTGCTTTGTTTTTTTAATAAGTCTTGTATTTCCAAGGAACTGAGAACACTAAGATACTTGGTTCTCAAGAAAAAAGAAAAATTGTTTCCCAACTCCTGTTTTACTGATGTTTCCTAGCAGTGCCAAGACCACCTCTCCATTAAGTCTATTTTCCAGCTTATTCCTTTAACCACCTTCATTTCCTTCTTATCTGCCCAGTCCGAAACTCCAAGCCATCTAACCAGACACTGCTGCATCTTTCAAAATCAAACAGTAACTGGAAATAACAAGGCACATCCTGTTTTAAAAGGCTCTATTTTGAACACTAAAGGAAAATTAGTGGGGCAATGAAAAAAAAAAAAAAATTAAAAAAATTAAGATGAATCTTGTCTTAAGAACTGGCCTTGTTTCCTCTTCAAGTAACTACAAAGTCCATTTCTATTGCTATTACTGCTCGCCAGAATTAAGTATTTAAATACTCAACATAATATTTTACAGAAATTTCAAATGGTTGTATTTAATCATGGCTCATATCTACCAAGCCAAATGAGTGAAATAATATATCCAGGTTTAAAGCAAGTCTAGTCTTTATATAAATAAAGTTACTTCCTTCAAATGCTGTTAAATCCTTCCAGCTCTAAGTATTTCTTTTGTTTTAAGCCACATTTGCTTGGTCTCGTGTGTAATAACCTTCCTTTAATACAGAACATAATTAAACACACATCTCAGAATTATGCTGTGACTTAAAAAGATGGGTTAATCAAGTTCACAGTTCTGACCCAGAAGCAATATCTCCAAGCAGCACTAATTAGACATCAAGCAACAGCAGATTTTATATGAGAATAGTATTCCTCTAGGTATCACATTGCTATGATTATAAGAACACAAGAATTTGACTGCAACCAAGCTGAAACATTTATTAACACCATTCTACCACCTACCAACTTCACAGCTAGCTGGCTCAAACATGATTCTTACTCTAACAATTATGTTAATGCCAACACAATAAGGCTCTTTTGAAAGAGGTTTGTACATAGTAAGTCACTCCATGTATTTTGTCGCTTAAGTAACTTGACAGATGCCCACAGAAAATGGGTACAGCTCTAGTTAGAAGCAGGCACAGTCAGCTGTTACCATACAGGTCAGAACAGCAACCACTAATATGAATAAAGAGCAGATACATGTTATTATTCCAAAAGAAAACTTCCTACAGAAACCCAACTAGCAGTCTAAGCCAGGCAGGAGCATGCAACTGACTTAGCTCTGAAGAGCAGTTCTTTAAATGATAAATACAATGCTTATTTTTAAATAACAAAAAACCTCTTGTGCTCCTTCACAACATAGAGATATGTTACAACTTCAGGATAACCAAAGCTCAGGAAAGTTAAAATCTACAGCTGAACAGGTAGAAACTTCAGTCATCTCACTCATAGCACAGTTTTGGTCACTAAAAATAGAAAACTGGCAGGTTAGCTCTCTGACCAGCCCCAGTCAGAGCCATGTTAACTCAGAATACAAGGCCTGCAGCTCACAGAACAGGCTGAGGCAGGGAGAGGAGGGAAGCACAAGGGGGAAAACAAACAACAAACTGGTTTCTCCTAAAGCAACAGCTGTTACCTATGCAAATCTCACTTAACTACACAAGTTCAAATGTTGAACAGGTGTGCAAACATTAGAAGAGATGTCTCCTCCACACCTGCAAGTTAATTCACATAAGTCATGTTTCAAGTTACACCACTGTGCAAGACAGGAGGAACAATACCAAACCCTGCTAGACAAGTGAATTTGGACACACCTGACTACAGCTGGCTCTGGCCCCACTGCTCCTAATGCAGTGCAGAGATTTTTTTGAAAGCAATTGCTGTATAATTTGCAAAATATTAGTGTCATTCACATACTTTAACTCATTACCATATTACTCAAGTACCAAGGATTACTTAGTAATTTCTGTAACAGTCAACTCCAAAGTAGCAAACGGTGCACTGAGAAACTCAGTAGCAGTTCAGTACAGTTCCCCTATTTATTCATAGGTAACTTTTGCACAACCACTCCCATTGTTGCCTTTTCCCCTGTTTCCCAAAACCATTTCATAAAGTCAGGTTTTACTTTACTGACTAATGGCTGAAGAGGCAAAGGCTGTCAGTAATACAGGCAGAGTAGTTACTCTCTTGAAATGCGTGTGTGCTGGCAATATGCAGCTGAACACAGTCTGCACTGTTCCAGTCAGCCATCTAAAGCACTTCCACCCTTCCTTCAGAATGGCAACTCTGAGACGAACTTGCTCTTCAGGATAATCAGGATTAAAAAAACCAGGACCTCCTTGAGATACATGGGGTCCCACTTCCAGGGGTCACAAGTACAACAAACTGTCCTTTCCTAGACAGCATTCACACATACCTACTCGCGCCACAGTTCACATACTTGAAATACTCTCCAAGAGCCGAAGAATGAGTATCACTTGATGTCAGTGCTTTTAACACACATCAGTTTGCAGGAACAATTACTAAGAAAGCCAGGCACAGACACCTGAACCACAGCAAAAGGGCTGGGTAATTAAAGTGAACGCTACAGACTTGAACCCTTCTCTCACCAACAGGCTTTGTGTCCATCAACATGTACAAAAGGTCAGACACCCAGTAAAAGAGAAGGAAAAGAAAACCCCAGAAAACCCAAGCTGATGTGCTTGACTGAAGAGCTCAAACAGTGTCTTTAGTGGGATAGTGTTTGCATGCTGAGGTCCCGCCAGGCACACGACACTTAATAGCAAGACTGACATCAGCATCTCAGGTTCTGCTCAAGCTCTCATGTACAGAGGTACAATGACAAGCCAGCTCCAGGCAGTCACCACTGCAGAAGGAGGCACAGCAGCAAGCTCCACATATTTCAAGAGTCACTAAGAGAACAAACAACATTCAGCTATTACACTGAGTACAGAGAATGCACATTTATAGGCACATCTCATCAACAAGGTGCTGCCATGTAGAATACTGAGGAGGTTGTTCTAAACCTAAGTGTCACAAACAAGGTTTTCAGCAGTTGCGTGCATATGACAGTGAAAGGTTATCTACCTCCCTTGCACATAGGGAAGATGGTGTACTTTCCTCAAACTTGCTAAAGAGACAAAAATCAACTGTTTACAAGTTGCCAAAAAATATATCATGAGGGCTTATAAGAAGAAATTACTCATATGCCTATGAAATGATTATTGGTTGACTGAAAATTAGGTCCTAGATACCCTGGTTTTATAATAATAGGGAACCTGAAAAAATGCAGGCCCAAACTCAATTGAAGGGCCTTGCCCTGTCAGATGAATCCTTGAGACTACAGTTCTTACAGAGGAAGGTCCAGCCAGAAAGGGTTTCACTGCTCTGTTTATGGCTGTACACTTCTAGCAGCCAAGAAAAGCATATGTGGTGCTTAAATACCTGAGACAGTCCCTGAGCTCAGGGCATAACAGAGGAGCATGAAAGAAGTAGGACTTGCTCTGACATAGCAAAAAGTGCAACAACTTGAATATTGCAAGACATTATTGCTTAAAGCTTGCCAGACCAAGACAAAAAAAAAAAAAGTCAAGAATTACCACATTATATCTGTCACTCAGCTCTGGAACAACCACTGTCCACAGTCCAAGTGCCTATTTTGTTTCCGTCTTTCCCTGCACTCTGCTACAGTTCCTCCATAATACCAAAGGTATTTTATATATACAAATTCATTTATTGTCAGAAGAGGAAATGGGTGTAAGGTACATTCTTGTGCT